AAGGGTATCTAGAAGACCTCTAAGATATACCCATATTAATGTTGATTTGAAAGGTATCTAGAAGAACTCTAAGATATACCTATATAAGTTAGGCCTTGCGGGTATGATGCCCGGTGGCTAGGGTTAAAACGTACGTACGGGATCCAAGAACCAAACTTGAGTACCTACTCGTTTGGGGGTACCACCCACCCAACAGTGAACACTACGCTGTCGGTTTTTGGTTGGCCTTAAGTGAAGGTAAGTTTAAGATTTCCAAAACCCTTTTATCTTAAACCAGGCCTAGCTTAAGGATTATTAGGAGTACTCTGTATACTGGAATATAGTTTAATTAGTTAAACTAGAATTCATTTAAGGGTTGACAAATATTAAAGTGATTGGCCTTAGACTAAGAATAGTTTAAGGATACTGTTGAATGACAAATGATGAATATACATGTTGGATGATTGAATAATGAATGTTAAAAATTGAATATTGATTATTGAATATCTGAACTGAACATTATGTTCATGATATCAAATGGTTGATTATGAATTGAGATTCAATTTATGTGGATGTTCGACGTATTAGATATGCTTACTCAGCTTTACCGCTGAGCGTGTAGTGTGTTTTATTTGCTACACGCAGGTCTATAGAATGATGTAACGTGATCCTGGAGGCAGAAGGAGGCGAGATAGTCGAAATGGATGTGATGGTTTTAAATTAAAGAATATAAATAAATTATGTTTGTTAAGCTTCCGCAATATTGAAAACTCTGTACTGTTTATGATATGAAAAATATTATTATGATAAATAAAAGTGTTTGAAATGTTTTAAATTTTACGATTACCAAGTTAATACTTTAGTCCGAAAGGGGCTGCAGACCTGGACGGATTAGGGTGTTACAATTTGGTATCAGAGCAAATGGTTTTAAAACCGATCTTCGGATCAAAATTTGAATTAAAAAAAANATACTCACTCTGTTAGAATTCTCATTAAATGACAATTGATTAGTTTAATGACAATTGATTAAAGGCCGCTAATTGTTATTGAATATTATGTTGATTGATGATTATGGTAATGATTATTGATTGATGATTATGATGATTAAATCTTGATAAATGTTCTAATTAAAAATGGAAATTATGAATGATTAAATCATAATGAATATATTGATGTTTGTGAAAATAATATGTATTGTCAAGGGTATCTAGAAGACCTCTAAGATATACCCATATTAATGTTGATTTGAAAAGGTATCTAGAAGAACTCTAAGATATACCTATATAAGTTAGGCCTTGCGGGTATGATGCCCGGTGGCTAGGGTTAAAACGTACGTACGGGATCCAAGAACCAAACTTGAGTACCTACTCGTTTGGGGGTACCACCCACCCAACAGTGAACACTACGCTGTCGGTTTTAAATTAAAAAATATAAATAAATTATGTTTGTGGTTATGATTTGTTAAGCTTCCGCAATATTGAAAACTCTGTACTGTTTATGATATGAAAAATATTATTATGATAAATAAAAGTGTTTGAAATGTTTTAAATTTTACGATTACCAAGTTAATACTTTAGTCCGAAAGGGGCTGCAGACCTGGACGGATTAGGGTGTTACAATTATTATTATTATTATTATTATTATTATTATTATTATTATTATTATTATTATTATTATTATTATTATTATTATTAAAGATTGTGAAAGATTAATGGAGTATCCAATTTTTTGGTGGAAGCTTTAGAATTTTTTGTTAAAAATATAGTAGTAAAACAACTAAATAATAATAATAATAATAATCCTATATATATATATATATATATATATATTTGAGCGTATTTTTTAAAAGAATTTTTTAATATGTTTTATTGTATTATATTAAATGAATACGCCGTATTATTTTTTAGCATTAAAAAACATTACTTTGATTATATTTTGTACTCTCTCCGTCCCAAAAATAATGAGACGATTTAACTTTTTGGGAAATTAAGGGAGGGATATTTTGGTATTGACTTTTCAAAAATACCCTTGATGTGATGGGTAAAAGTAGAATGTGATAGGTAGATTATTAGAAAAAAGGTATGATGTGATAGGTAGGGTATGAAAAAGTAAGGGGTAAATGTGGTTTTTTAATAGAAATGTAACGGACTGTACAAAACGCAGTTTTTTCTAAACCTAACAAACTTTTTGGGACGGGGGGAGTATAAAATTTAACATTTTCTAACAATTCTATAAATATATATTTCACCATTGTGAAATTTACTCTGTATTTTAAATATGCATATTGATTGTAAAATTTTAAAGAAGAGTATGTATAAGACTCTTTATTATTAATTTAAAAAATATTTCACTTTAAGAAAAATGAAAAAATATTTCACCTTCAAAGATATTAAATTGTTTTTGGCATTTTTATGGTTTATTTAATTTAATATTTTTTAAATTAAATAGTTATAGAATTTTTTGTGCATGTACATCAATATTTAAAGTATACTTTTTATTAAAAAAATATACTCCGTATATCTTAGAGTGAAAAAATAATCATTTAAAATAAATAAAATTATATTTATAAAATGTCAAAAGTTTAGAATGTATATGAGCTTGTGCGAAGCACGGGTTTAACACTAGTAATAATAATAGAAGGAGAAGAAGGAGAAATAAGAGTGAGTGGTGGGGGGTCTAGAAGATTGGTGTGGAAAGAGGGGGAGGAGGATGAGAAGAAAAGAAAGAAGAAGAAGAAGAAAAGGAAAAAAAAGATGAAGAACGAAGAAATGGATGGGGGATGATGATGATGATGATGGGAGATGATGATGCATGGTGCATTAACGGATATAAGGGATAGACGGGGAGTGGATGGAAAGTCTCCTCTTAGTAAGTTTTTTTAAAATTTAGGGTAACTGATGGTATATTTAAAAAAATAGGGGTACCTGTGCCGTGCATCCAAATACCCGGTAGCAGTTTTTTGCTGCCTGTCGGTTAAACATTAAATCAGACCAACCAGTGCATTTCCCAAATATGCACTGATTGGGGAATCACCCGCAGCCGCCGCCGCAGCCGCCGCCGCGCTGCTCCCTCCACAACGCCGTAGCATCTGCCACCGGTGATTGCTTCAATATGGACCCCTTAGCGGTATCCATGAAACCTTCTTGCTCCTCGTCCTATATCCTTCCGGAATCTGTATCCACTCCCAGACCTAGAACTGGCTCGTCGTCCTCCGCATTCCCGACTTCCAGACCCTCCCGGAAATGTTACCGGACTCGAATTTCATATACTCCGGTCCGGAATCCCTCATCTTCGATCAAATACTACCGTCGGATCTCCACCTATTCGGATTTCACTTGTTCAGCTATAACAACTCCCGCGTCGGAGTCGCAATTGCAGACCTACCCGAACCAGGACCCGGCGACGAAGCTCCGCCTCCTCACATCGGAATTCCAGTCACTCTCGGAGCCGATTGATCGGGTAAAGCGGCTATTGCACTACTCCTCCATACTCCATCCCATGGACGACTCCCTGAAGACCATTGAGAACCGGGTACCTGGATGCACGGCACAGGTGTGGCTACATGTGAGGGTGGACAGGGGGAACGGAGTTAGGTTATCCGCGGATAGCGATTCGGAGATCACCAAAGGATTCTGTGCCTGCTTGGTTTGGGTGCTGGACGGGGCATCTCCGGAGGAGATTCTCGCCATGAAAACTGAGGATTTGGGTGCTCTGAATGTGGTGGATTTGAAAGGAAAAGGCGGCTCTTCTTCCAGGGTGAATACTTGGCATAATGTGTTGATGACTATGCAGAAGAGGATTAAGGCATTGGTGTCGGAAATGGAGGGGACGGCAAGGAGTGACCCATTCCCTTCTCTGGTTATCACTGCCGAAGGTATAAACGCCAATGGCAGCTATGCTGAAGCTCAGGTTAGCCATTGTTATTATTAGTAGTCTTCCAAAAGAGTTTGTCAAAAATGAGCAATTTACACCCCCTATGGCCTATGATTAGCCTTAAAAATTTACCCTCCAAAAAGTGAATAGCTTTTTATAAAAAAAAGTTATCTTACACAAAAGTAGTGTATTTTTTTTTAATTCTTAAATTTTAAATCTTTCCTTTAAATAATATTCTTGTTTTGAGATGTAAATAAGTTTCCAAACAGGACTTTTGTTTTGGTATTGGAGTAAACTAGAACTATTACATAGTTTGTTGAGTTCAACAAAAGAAATTGAACCTAAAGTGTCAATATTAAAACCCATAGATATCTAAGGCAACTTTAAGAAACCACACGGTTAGACGAATATTGATGCATGCTTGTTGAATATAGAATCCCAATCCTTTGATAACAACAACAAAAAATAGAGAATTGGCTGATAATTCAAAATGTAAAATAATTGTTCCAACTCTATCCATGCCGAACAAGAATTCATGTGAATTGGCAAGAACACATTGGAGGGATATTTTTTTTAATTTGGTTACCTCCATGCAATGGAGAGAAACAGAGAGTATTTCCATCACCACTGTCCTCTGTAACACACACTAACTAATGGACTTTACATGGTCTAAGTTTCATTCCATATGATTTTGCAGGCTAGATTTCTGTTTCCAGATGAATCAAAGGTCCAAGAGCTTGCAAACCTGCTTGAAAACAAAAGAATTGGAGTTGTTGCACATTTTTACATGGACCCTGAGGTCCAAGGTGTTCTAACAGCAGCACAGAAGCTTTGGCCTCACATTCATATATCTGATTCCTTGGTTATGGCAGATTCAGCTGTAAAGATGGCAAAAGCTGGATGCCAGTATATAACTGTTTTGGGAGTTGATTTTATGTCAGAAAACGTCCGTGCAATCCTTGATCAGGCTGGATTCCATGAGGTACTTTCAAATAATAGAACTGATATGCATAATTGCATTGAGAAGATGTGTGTGGCATGCTGGCATATAAGGGATATGCATGCTTCTCCTCCAATTAGATATTAATATACTTTTAAAGGGTATCCATTAATGACAAGGAGAAAGGAAGAGGAGTGCCTAGAATACACTTGTTGACTTAATTTTAAGTTATTACTCTGCAATCAAGAAAGATATTCCTTGGTGTGGTAAAATCTGTTTTTATCCCTTGATGGAGCTAACACAACAGGATTCATGCAAGGTGACTGCAAAGTACTTGTTTGTGTGCTCATCGTGACATGAAGCGGGGTGGGGTGGGGGGATTCTTTTATTTTTCAGGGAATTGAGGGTGGGTGTGCATGGATGTAAGTCTTGTATTGACAGAAAAACTAAAACTAGATGCAAATTGCTGCTTTCATACTATGATTCATAATTGTTGCTTAACAGCTTTTTCGATAAAGTATGTGGTGCCACCGTGCCAACTTTTGAATGGTTTAAGTATGTGCCTTTGGTTAACAGAAATATTCTTAATTTTTTTGTTGGAAATGAGAAAATTGATGAATGACAAATGAAACTATTTTCTTTACATAGACCCCCCCCCCAATGGTAAACAAAAATCTCCTAATGTTTCACATTTAAAAACCACTCCTTTTTTGTTTCTGAAATGTTAATTTAGAAAAACACATTGGCCACCACACCATTTATTTCCACTGGTCACCGCAGCCTGTTGCAGCCACCACAGCTAGATCCCTCTTGCTACTGGTGTTGAGGTTGTTGGTAGGCAATACAAGTGGAAGTGGTATTTTGGCTGTGGTACTGTGTTTTCAATTTTCAAATTCGGAACTTGATTTGAGAATATGATAGTAGTTGGTAAAAATATTTGGAGATGGAATATTGGAAATATTGAGAAGATTGTGAAACATGCCCTACCAAAATTCCTTGAATTCATTTCGCAGGATATTGTCCAAATGTTTTGCTATGTTCTAGTGTTCTACACATGGCAGCAACATTTGGTTTCACATTTTCACATATATGGCAGCTTTTCTTTGCAGGTTGGTGTCTATAGGATGTCTGATGAACACATTGGTTGTTCTTTGGCAGATGCTGCAGCCAGTCCTGCTTATATGGAATACCTTGGAATGGCCTCTCACTCTTCTCCTTCTTTACATGTTGTTTACATTAATACTGCTCTGGAGACCAAAGCATATTCTCATGAACTTGTGCCGACTATAACATGCACTTCCTCTAATGTTGTCCAGACTATTCTGCAGGTTTCCTCCACATACCTCCTTTTGCGTTTCTCTTTGTTTCTGAAAACAGCTTTTGGTAAAACTCTGCTTAGTATAGCATTCTTTGCAGTTGTCATTTGACTTGGACAAATTTTCACATAATGCAGGCATTTGCAGAAGTGCCCAACTTAAATGTTTGGTATGGCCCTGATTCTTACATGGGCGCAAACATCGTGGAGCTGTTTCAGCAAATGACCATGATGACTGATCTAGAAATAGCTGAGATACATCCACTGCACAACAGAAAATCTATTAAATCATTGATACCTCGTATGCACTTTTATCAGGTAATATAATTGAAGGTATAGTCACTGAGAAATGCTACATGCACACCACACTTACACAGTTGCACCACTTCTTACACTGCACTTATTTTTGAACTACACAAGAATGGCGTGTGCGATTGCATTCTAGTAGTTCGGAATGGGGGTATGGTGTGCAAATAGTAATATTTTACAAGCTGATTGGAAAAGATGTATCATTCTGCAATATATTACCTCTGTCCTAAAAAAGATTCATGTTTCTTTACGCTATGTATGGTTCAAGGAATTAAGAAAGAAAATGAGTTCTCTCTTTTTCCTCACTAAAATGGAAGATTCATGTTTCTTTACTATGCTAATTTTAAAATAATTTGCTGGTTAAACAAAACTTAACATACTTGTCTGGAACCATAAGTTCAATGGCAACCACTTTTTTTTAAAAAGTGACTCTTTCATCGGGCAATAATGGTTTAAAACATGGGGTTTTGCCTTTTTGTGTGTGTTGAAAGCAGTTACATTTACCTGATTCACGTGAGTGATTCACTCTTAATCTCAACTATTCTATAGTTGGGGTTGATGACAAGAAAATTATAGTGTTAGTTAATTATCTAATTTTTTAAAAATATTTTGTACCCTGAAGGTAATTGCTACCAGTCTCCTTGTATTGGTTTCCAATTATATTTTTTATGTGCCAGGATGGAACATGTATTGTGCATCACCTCTTTGGCCATGAAGTCGTGGAGAAGATAAAGGAAATGTATTGTGATGCATTCCTCACCGCTCACTTTGAAGTTCCAAGTGAAATGTTCTCACTAGCAATGGAAGCCAAACGGAGAGGGATGGGAGTAGTTGGCTCAACCAAGAACATATTGGATTTTATAACACAAAGGGTACAAGAGGCTATGGATAGGAACATCGACGAACATCTTCAGTTCGTTTTAGGAACAGAATCTGGAATGATTACTTCTATAGTGGCATCGGTTCGTAAATTATTAGGCTCCATGAACTCTACTGATAGAGGATCACAAGTTAGCGTTGAGATTGTCTTTCCTGTATCATCTGAGTCAGTGACGAAAACACCAGAGGTTCCATCCCAGGACCTCTCCTTAGGTGACATGGGAGATTTTTTAATAAAGGCCCCTATTATACCTGGAGTTGCCAATGGGGAAGGGTGTTCTATTCATGGTGGCTGTGCCTCTTGTCCGTACATGAAGGTTATAATTTTCTCTTTTACAGCACCATTGACTATCCTACATTGTTATGGTTATGTTTGGATCCGGACAATCTCCTAGGAAAATAGTTTAGTTCTTATTGTTTTCAGCTTTACCTTGAAAAGTATGATAGAAAATCAGATATCCTGATTGTTTTTTCAACTTTTACACATATTTTGATTTCGTACTCTTTCTATATCTAAAATTTTAAATTGATTGTGAACATATTTTTACTTTTTTGAGAATTTCTCCAGTTTTCATTTATGTTTGTGCTGGTTTATTATCTCTTGATCTCTATATTATGCTCTTTCTCATGACAGATGAATTCTTTGAGCTCGCTTCTTAAGGTTTCCCGTGACCTACCAAATGACAAAGATAAGCTTTCAGCGTATGAAGCTAGACGGTTCAGCCTGCGAACCCCAAACGGAAACCTAATAGCAGATGTTGGTTGCGAGCCAATTCTTCACATGAGACATTTTCAGGTTCATCAACATTTTTGTTTTGTTTTGTGTTCCAATTGTAGAGCCTTTTGCATCACCATTTCCTTAACTTCCATGCTTGAGGGAGTTGGGATTTGAAGGTGGTGGAGGGAGTGTGCATATTTCATTTTTTTTGAAAATAATTTATTTTACAACCATTGTCAATGAAGCTAAAAGGGTCATTTTGACTATGTTTTAGCTTCAAGCAAAGGAGTACTAAACTAAATCAATATGGCAAAAGAGTCATTTTTGTTTTTACTTTTTACCAACTTAATCAAGGTACATCCTCTATACGACCTTATTTTTGGAATTATTTGGGACTAAATGAGTATTATTACCCAAAACCATATATCCAATAATTCTTTTAATTAAAAATAATCCTTCCATCCGCTGCCCCCCCCCCCCCCGAAACCCAACACCCATAGATTGTCCAAAGATAGCCCAGAGTTTTCAGCTCTTATTAAAAATTGTCTTTCTTTTTGCAACTTTGTTTGAATGAACTCCCCGAAACGTCGGATCTTGTGAAGCTTTAAGACATTGCTCTGACGAATTTGTGTTTCTGCAGGCGACAACGCGATTACCAGATTCACTAATCGATCGAATACTGCAACGCTGACGCGTGAAATGAAATTGTGTCAAGACTTGGGGAACTCAGTGCTTCTGTGCGGCAATATGGATGGTCTCCATTCTTAAAGGTTGGCTTGCTTGTAGTGTAGTTATAAACCAACCATAGCCGGCGATTTGTATATTATCTTATCTCTGTCCCGGAATATTTGTGCAATTTTAAGAAAGACAAATTGGACAAATATTTTGGGACAAATGGAGTATGTGCCTGGGTGCAATAATGACACCCAAATATTTTGGTTGCTCTGATAGCATGTGTAACACCCGACCCCACCCTACCTGGAAATGTCTGCTAATTTATGATTGTAAACTGGTCTCACAAAACAACACAAGCTTTTCCTGTGCATTTTGTCCACACTCATGCACACCCAAGTGGGTCACGAATATTAAAATTGCTCTAAGCCAATAAGTTTTTACTCTGGGGTTTCTTAGAGATAAGCTCATGATCATTTATGTTTTTTTGAGAAGATAACTTATGTTTGTATGCATGTTTTCATTGATTATTTGATAAAATAAAATATTTTTATAATCTATTGTTTTATGGAACTTTTGAAGTAGTTTTGAAAAATGTAATATGTATGTTTTTTATATTTATACCAAATTGTAAATAAAGTCATGGATAAAATATGTTTTTGGTCCTTGTAAAATAAGCGATGGTTTAACAAAAATATATTTATACCAAATTCTAAATAAAGTCATGAGTATGAAATAAATTTATTTTCTCAATAAATTAGAAGTTTAAATTATATATAAGGATCATTTTAAAAATAAATTTTTTTGTAAGGATGGTTTAACAAACATATATTTTTCAGGGACCAGAAACAAAAGTTACCTATTTTATAGGGACCAAAAACATATTTAATCCTAAAGTCATTTTTATAAAGACGAGATTTTGAATGTTTTTCAAAATAAGTAGAATTTATTAGGACGTAGGGAGTATAAATTTTAGAGATAAATAAAAAGTGAAGTTGAAAAGTTTTTTAAGAGAGAGAGTATTTAGGCATAGTGTTTTAGAGAGTATTTAGGCATAGTGTTAAACTTTATATGGGGAGTATATATTGAACTCTCTCTTGGAATGCAATGCAATCAATAATCCTTTTCTATATCAATTATTGAGAAAAAACACTATTTTTTTTAATAAACCGCACCAAAAACCGCACTGCAAAAAATCAAAACCGAACATAAAACACCGGATCAAACCGATTCTAATTGGTTCCAATTTCAGTTTTGGATTTCGAAAGCAAAACGGCAAAAAATTATTATTGTAATACTATGTTGTATATTTTCCTATGGTGTTAGGCATGAAAGTTGATACATTTGGAGATGGGAAGGGTTCACTTTCTTTTTATACCTGAGCTCAGCGTGACCGGGCTTGCATGGGCAACACCTTCTGGGCCGCATGAGCTCTTTTCACTTTTTCTCAACTCTTTATAATTTATTCAATTACTTGCAATTTTTTCCAACATCCAATTTTGTTTTTACTGTCCAAACAGACAGAGCTATAGTCCAAAATTTGCTTGAATCTTTTTTTTGTATGAGTTTTGGTCATAATCTGTATTTTTTACCCAAACAAATGATTTTTTGAAAGCAATTTTTGTAATACTTAGGCCCCGTTCCATTCAACTTATTTTTTTTTATTTTTTCTTATTCTTATTAAAATCAGATCAGATCGAATAAGATCAAATCAAATCTGATCAGATCCAATCAGATCAGATCAGAACTTATTAAAATCAGATCCCATCAAGAATTAATATTATTATTATTATTATACTATTATATTATTATTATACTATTATTATTATTATTATTATTATTATTCTTAAAAATGAAAAAGAATAAACTTTAGAAATAGGTTAAATAGAAAACTGAGAAAGTAATCCTTGATTATTAGACGCCGGAAAAATGTGTTTTAAAATACATTGACAATGTCAATCTAATTCTACATTTAAAATATAATTTTTTATTGCTACTTGTAATTTGAGTTTCTAAAGTTTTGATCTTTTATAAGGATGAGATATTTTAATAAAAATACTATCTCTTAAATATATTTATTATCTAAATTTAATTACTTTTTAATTTATATATAAATTAAATATTTATTCTAATTTATATATGAAGCAATTATTAAAATATCAAATTAATATTATAATTTCACAAAAAAATAATTATAAAATAAAAAATATTATTATATTATAATATGAATGATTATTCTAATATATGAATTAACTAATTTTATTTTATTAAAAAATAATCATTAAATAAAAATATTGATTATATTATAATATGAATTATCATTACAACTTTCAAACGTTATTATAAAGTCAAATCAAATTATTGATTTGAATTTTAAATCAAATCATAATTAATCAGATCATATCAGACCAGATCAGATCCAATCAGATCAGATTAGATCCAATCAGATCAGACTAGATCAGATAGATCCAATCAGATCAGACCAGATCAGATCAGATCCATTCAGATCAAATCAGATCTAATCTGATCAGATCAGAACTTATTAAAATCAGATCAGATCAGAAAAAATAAGTTGAACGGAATAGAGCCTCAGAGAGCATTTCTAAGGGGTTAGCTAAAATATGAATTGGTAATGCTGTTTTAGTAAAGAAATAGTGTTTTACTTATCCATCTTTTAACAATCTCTCCAACCATAGTATGTATATTGTACCTATTTACGGAGTATCATATATTTTCATTATTCTACAATTAATTTTTTATAGAAAAATTATTTATTTATACTTATAGATTACTCACATTTATGTGTAAAAAATAAAACAGAATTAACAACTATTCTCGTTAAAATAGCAATTGTGCTTGGTAGATATAGTAATTGTATCGGTTAAAATATCAAGTTTGTTACGGAGTACGGAGTATAATTTACCTACAGGATTGGAGTGCAAAAGATAAAGAGTACTCTCACCACCATCCTAAAACTTTGTTCCCATTTACTATTCACACGGTCAAACTTTAATCACTTTCCTTATCTATTTTTATTAGTTATTTAATAAAATAATATATTTTTATCACATCTTGTATTGTAGAACTTTTGATGTAATTTTTAAATATATAAATTTTAGGACGTTTTAGCACGAAGGGAGTAAATCCCGGTCCCTTTTCAATTTTTTTCAATATTGTAGTGGCAAAAACATTTTCTTGTTTTATCATATTTTTTTCTTTTCAATTTTCTTTTCAACCAAACAATGGAAGGAAGAACTTCTCCCATGACTTTAGTAGTAGGAAGCCTTGCCTCTAGAATTTATGGAGAAATTTACATAAGTTTTCACTCCAACAAAGGCGAAAGCGATAATACTTTATGCATCATTAGATTGAGAATAATATAAACAAATCCTTTCCTTTATATATAAAAAGGAGACTCCATTCTCTAAGAACTTGACATTTGGCATATTCAAAGCTTGACATGTGGCGCATTAGGAACTTGGCATGTGTCATATTAGGTGGCAATTTAACAAAATTTACTCTCTTTCATTATTTCACATTTTTTACTCTTTTTTCAAAAATGATATGGAGTAATTACTTATTTTGAACCCATGAATTCAAAATTAGATTTAAAATTATTTTCCGTGTAAATTATTACTTTTAATAAAATATCATTTTTTAAGAACTCTACGTACAAATATTTTTAATACCTATCTCGGATTCGTTAAATCATAAAATTTACAAAATATTTTTAGAATAATAAATAAAATAAACTCCTCACCCATTAATAAATTTTATATTTATTCATTCTACATTTACATGATATTCCTTTGATTGTGTTTATTTAAATATTGACACCTATTAAATAAAATACTTTCTTTACCTATAAATAAATTTGATATTTTTATGACACTTAATGTGTCCCTTTATTTTAAGATATAGAAAATGCAAATTCAATGTTTTGGTATAAAATCTTTAAATAAATTTATTTGTTAAAGAGAAACATAAATGTGTATGAAAATACTATTTCCAATACAATACAATATTTTTTACTCGCTTCATTTATAAAAAAAATTTGATTAATAAATTAGATGATTTTTTCATATTTAAATAATTTTCATACAAGTATTAATTTATAATATTTCAAATGAAATTAGTTTTTATTTTATTTATTTTAATAATAATGTAAAATTAGAAACAAACAATACATTTTAATAACTAGATTAAAAAAATTAAAAATTAATACATGACTGAACTAAAATTGAAATTTTTTTAAATAATAAACAAAACATTCTTTTCATAAATAAATAATATACGAAGTATTTTGAATTTGTTTATGATACCTTTAAATGAAGTTAGTTTGATTATATTTATTTAAATATTAACACATACTAAATAAATACTTTTTTCGCCTATTATGAAATTTCTTATTTTTTAACACATAATATACAACCTAATTTTCATAATAGAAAACGTAAAATCAACATTTTCGTAAAATGTGATCCTAAGGTCCAAATGTAAAATATGAACCTTCTTACACTTTTCATGGACCAGCAAGTAAATATTTTTTTAAAAAAGATCCAATTCTTTTATGATATTATTACACCAAAGTCTATAAAATGAGCATGGACCGTAGGACTGTGGAAAAATTTGCCTTATAATAAAACTTTCAATCCCCCCCCCACCAAAAAAAATTCAATTAAAGAATAAGATACATTTTTTTGCCTCTAAATCTATGTCATCAACCACCCACATTCAAGTCTAAATACGTACGTGCTAGAAGAGGATCAATATTGTGATAAAAAAGGATAGAATCAGTATTTAAACTTCACCTTTCTGCCCAACTTGATGAGAGATGAACGAGATCAACTAGAGATGCAAGATAAAGGGGAAAAAGAAATAATTCAATAAAAAAACATAAACAGGTGCATATTTTTATGATTATTATTTTATTTTAGCAATTCAACAAGCATCTGTAAAAAAACATAAACATCGTTCGTATGTTTCATAAAATTTATGTGTTGTTAAAATGTAAAATTGTTGCTTTAGACTTTTTATGCATCCGTCTTTGTTATATGGTATATATCCTAATTCAAGTGTGTTAGAATTTTTGTAATAACTAAATCAAACAAAATATGTCGGTGACTATAATTTCGCTATGGTTCCCGAGTCAACAAACACTATCGATAGGTCGTCTGCAATATGTGTCAACATGAACTAGAGAGTTATTTTATTGAGAGTATTTTAAACGTTCCAACAAGGATGTACAAGCTCTCAAAGTTTGAAGACAGTTAAGAATGATGTACATAACACATTCAAGGATGCATGCAAAGGATTGATGTTACTAGCAGTGATTAAAATTTTATTGAAGGCAAGATGTTGTAGAGCTAGGATCCAAGAGTGAGCTAAAAAAAATTTTTGTCACATTATTACTGACAAATACCATGAGTCTCTCTCAAGTTGTTTGGGAAAAATCATGGAAGCACTTAGTTGACGAGGTTTATTTGACCAAAGAAGAATATTGCATTATCAATGTGTTTTTATAAAAAGATAATTTTATTTTTTAATAAATATCAATATGAAATGCATGGTCGGTGCATATACAAAACTCTAGAATTGAGATATGAGTATAATAAATTTAGTCATATTTTAACTATTTTTTTGCAGAACTTATTTCCCTTGAAGATGTAAAGAAATTGTAATTGATTAAAATTGAAAGATACCTAATTCAAATGGACGACCTTTAAAGGAATATAGTGGTATGTCATTCCGAGATGTCAACCCACTTAACAAGTTTGGAAATAGAGTTGAACTATGACAAAAAAAAAGTTATTATCTGATTTTAGCTGATATTAATCTATAATGAATGAAGACCCGTGGAAGATAGGGAAAAAGGCTAAAGTAGGAGTAAAAAATTGAAAATATAACAAAATAGGAGTTCCATTATATTTTTAATTCCTGAAATAGAAGTTAAAATGCATTTACGGTACCGATCATTATGGTCAATTTGTAAATTGTAGGTGCTACAGTCAAATCTTTAATATTATGATCAATTTGTAAACTTTCATGTTGACCAAAAATATGCGACTACATTCATCTACTTCCTCTTGCACAGATAGGGACACATGTGCTTTTTTTGATTGGAAAATTAGATTCGAAGATGAAAAGCTATGTGAGGTGATTGATGGAGTTATTGATGTTGAGATCCCTCCAAATTTTTTATTTTTGAAAAAAGTTATCCTATCAAAAGTATAATACGTTGACCTCTCTTATCCAAACATATGAGAGAATATGAACAATTATTCTTTTTTAAGGACTGGACACTATTTTGATTCTTCATGCAAAGGAAATGGAGATGCAGGTGTTGATGGCGATTGAATAACAATTGAGTTATAAATGAACTCAAATATTCGAGAATCTCAAGCCATAAAATAATTTGAAAAAAAGGGCTACCAATTATATATGCTATTGAGAAACATTAACCACATATCTGAATTGTGTGATGAGACAAGACTAATCGTTGAAGAGCTACGAAATAATGTTATCGGTGCAATTGTGGTTTCGAAAAAACGAGTCGAGAAAAAGGTTACTCTTAAAGTTCTAGAAAAGACAATTCCCAATGTTTTATGTTTTGCTATGACTTTTAACAAACTCAAAGTCAAACATTATCATTTGTTGGATTATTTTTTAATCAATTCGGTGTTTACTTTATGATCAACTTTGCGGTGATGTTTCACGAGTAAAAAGAAAGACAGAATTAAAAATATTAGTTTTAGATGATAACGAAAATCCTTGCAACTACATCAAAATTGTTGTATACCCAAAAGTCTTTCAAGAATATAGATTTAGAAAATCTCTGAGATGTTCACTTTTGAATTTGTAAATAAGAATTTTCATTACCAAATATTTAATACTAAATTATTTATTTTATTTTTTTAATGTCTTAGTAATAAACATATTACATATTTTTTTATAAATTCAATTAAAATATTGCATTGAAGTTAATTTACAAAAGTGTCAAAAATTTTGTCCAACCTCGTGCATTGCACGGGTTAAAATACTAGTACTATATTGTAATAGAGTCAACAACATTAAACAATAGGAAAATACGTGTTTCCTTTTCTTCTTATTTTTTACTCCCTCTGTCCACATTAAATTGTATGTTCACTATTCATAGAGTCAAACTTCATTCACTTTCTTTCTCTTTTTTCGGTAGGCATTTGATAAAATAAAATAGTCATGTCAGTAATGTCACCGCTAGTTTTGTAGATTTTTTAATGTAGAATTTTAATATGTAATTCTTTTTTTTAATTCTACACAATTTTTCATATAAAATAATTTAAAAATAATTCCAACCCAAATTCATAAACCGAAACATGCAATATAAATCTGGACGGAGGGAGTGATTATTTTCTATTCATCTTTCACTTTTTTTCTCATCATTTGTTTCCTTACATATTCAATTTTCATCCAAACAAACGGTTTTTGTTATTGGGGATCCGACTGAGCTGACTCGCTCCAAAATGACCAAAAAGCCCACAATCAAATATGAAGAATAAAGATGCAAACGACCCGCGATTTTTATACGTGGAAAACCCCTTCGATGTGAAGGATAAAAACCACGGGACTTATAGGGAATTCACCATCTTTTTCTCTTATTATGCAAGTTCAGGGTAAAAACACCCAAACTCAGTCAACAAGGACGTCAGAGCCCACCAACAATAACATACATAAGAGCCATCAACAATAGAGAAGGAAAAATTAGAGATATCATCCAAAAAACGTAGGCTGCACCAGCTGCGATAACAGAATATCCATAGCATCGATTGATGTGGAAATTGAACACATTGATGCCTTAAGTGTTGAGAACAATCTCTGAAAATTTCAGCTTAATACAATGGTCAGATCTCCAACGATGATCATATTTGTGCGACTAATCTGAAAAATCTACACCAGCCCTTTCTCTCTCTCTCTTCTCTGTTTCTCCGTAAGTCACTGCCCTGCCATTTCTCTCCTTCTTTTGGTCAACAAAGGAAAGGAAAAACTTTTCCAAAATTGGATCCCCAAAAAGAAGATAATGAACCCAAAAACAATGGGCTGGACCCACAACAATGTCACATGAATCACCCAGATTTGATAAAATAATATAGTTTTGTTATCTCTTGTTTTGTAGAATTTTTGATGTAGTTTTTAAATATAAAAAAATATTTTGTAATTTATGCCTACATTCAAGTAAATTGAATTAAAAATAAATTCGTTCAAACCTCGTAAACATAAATAGGAAAAATATTTTAAAACAGAAGGAATAATTGTTAATTTATTACTCCGGGTATTTTTTTAACATTTACCCACATGGTTGGAGATGCTCTGAGTTTCGACCATAATCTACCTAAGGAAGGATTTCTTAAAGCAATTCCCGGTCCCTATTCTATTTTTTCAATATTGTAGCGGCAAAAAAAGTCTCTTATTTTATCATATTACTTTTCTCTTTACATCATCTCCGATGGAGCCAAAATTTCACCATTTTTTGGCTTTGGAGTGTGATGGAATAAATCAAAATGGATCTCTAAACTGTCTGCGCTTCTTTAATTAATGAAGTAGCAGTTAGTCAAGCAATGCAACTTTCGACGTTGAGCCGGGGGTCTCTTTGGAAACAGCCTCTCTACTTTCGAGTAGGGGTAAGGTCTGCGTACACACAGTCACACACTCTCCCCAGACCCTACTCCTGTGGGATTTAACTGGGTTGTTGTTGTTGTTGTTGTTTTCTCTTCAACCACACAAAGGAAGAACTTCTCCCATACCTTTAGCAGTGGGAATCCCATTCTCTGGGAATCATGGAGAAATTTACCTGATTTTGAGCTTCAACAAAGGCGGAGATGAAAACACTTTATGCGTCATTTGATACATATAGCTCTTCAATAGCTCGCTTCGTAGCTCTAGCTGTTTTTCCTTGATAAAGGGAGAACCACCAAAAGAGTCAAGGCTATAATAGAGGTTACAAATATTCTTTTGGTCAACAAAGGAAAGGAAAAACTTTTCCAAAATTGGATCCCCACAAAGAAGATAATGAACCCAAAAACAATGGGCTGGACCCACAACAATGTCACATGAATCGCCCAGATTTGATAAAATAATATAGTTTTGTTATCTCTTATTTTGTAGAATTTTTGATATAGTTTTTAAATATAAAAAAATATTTTGTAATTTATGCCTACATTCAAGTAAATTGAATTAAAAATAAATTCGTTCAAACCTCGTAAACATAAATAAGAAAAATATTTTAAAACGGAAGGAATAATTGCTAATTTATTACTCCGGGTATTTTTTTAACATTTACCCACATGGTTGGAGACTTGGAGATGCTCTGAGTTTCGACCATAATCTACCTAAGGAAGGATTTCTTAAAGCAATTCCCGGTCCCTATTCTATTTTTTCAATATTGTAGCGGCAAAAAAAGTCTCTTATTTTATCATATTTTTTTCTCTTTACTTTTCTCTTCAACCACACAAAGGAAGAACTTCTCCCATCCCATACCTTTAGTAGTGGGAATCCCATTCTTTGGGAATCATGGAGAAATTTACCTAAGTTTGAGCTCCAACAGAGACGGAGACGAAAACACTTTATGCATCATTTGATAGAGAATAGTATGAATAAATGCTATATTATAATAAAGTTAATAACATTAAAAATTAAAGGAAAATACTACGTATGTGTTTCCTTTTCTTCTTATTTTCTACTCATCCGTCCAAATTAAATTACATGTTCACTACTCACAGAGTCAAACTTCATTTACTTTCTTTCTCTTTATTTGGTAATCATTTGATAAAATAAAATAGTTATGTAACTACAAGTTAGTTTTTTTGATATTTTGATATAGTATTTTAATATATAATTCTTATTTTTTGAAAGTATTTTAAGTCAAATTCATAAATCAAAATATGCAATATAAATTATGACGGAACGAGTAATTATTTTTATTCATCTTTCATTTTTTTTCTCATCATTTGTTTCCTTGCATTTTCAATTTTCATCCAAACAAACGGTTTGTGTTATTGGGGACCCGACTGAGCTGACTCGCTCCAAAATGACCAAAAAGCCCACTGCCCACTGCCCACTGCCTTTGCACCCGCCTCATTTCTGTTGCCTTTTCCTTTTTTCTTTCTTTCTTCTTCTTCTTCTTCTTCTTCTTCCCTCCGAGTCTGCCAATCCTTCCATGCGCATATGATCAAATCAAATTATATGCTTGTTTATATTTATGCATGCACATACACGCACCCGTGCATATATGATTGTAGACGCAATGAAATTGCGCTTGTGATATGATTTGCTCCCGAATTGTCTGCATGTTCTCTTCAAATTCCAGTTTTCGGATCGATCTAGTTGTTCATATATCGTTATTCTTATGGTTCCTGGAGATCTGATTTCGCCGATCTGGATTTTGGAGTAAGGAGAGACAGAGATAGGGTTCGGATTTCCATCGGATGATTTGGTTCGGATTGCGAATTTGAGTTGAGCGGAGATCGAGAGAATGCCACAGGGTTCTGGTTCGGACGTGGAGCCGGAAGATTCTGAATCCGAAGCAGATTTCGTTGAGGTCGATCCCTCGGGTCGATATGGCCGGGTCTGTAATTCGTTTCTGGCTATTATTTTCCACTTGTTCCTTTTTTTTTTTTTGCATTTTCTGTGTTGAATTCTTCATTTTTTTTAAATCTCGAATTGTTTCCCACACCTTGCATTTTTGGCTTCTTTTTTGGTTTTTTAATTTGAATTGTTACTCTTCGGTCGCGTAATGTTGTCAGTTTTTGTCTTTGGAATGCTGGTGCAGCTTTTTGTTCCGTGGAGAATTTAAATAAGACTTGGTTTTGGCTTTTTCTTCAGTCTTATTATATTCAAAGCAATTCCTTAATCTCCTGATATACTGCAGTTTTTTAGATCAACAAGGGTCCACTTTAGATTTAGATGATGATTTCAGAAAAATGATGGAGGAGTTTGCTTTTTTTTTTTAAATGCAAAGATGGGAGTTGTATTTTCTAGAACTGTAAAGAATAACCCATACTTTTCAATGTACATTGTGTTTCAAATTGCAGTACAAAGAGGTGCTTGGAAAAGGAGCTTTCAAGAAAGTGTATCCTTTTGCAACCTTATGATTTGTGCTTAAAATGGACCTACTTCTTCTATTCCATTTCATTTTTTTAGATAATCTCAAAAATTTGATACTCCTTGACTTAGCGTCTGGGGGATATAGATATAGAGCATTTGACCAATGGGAGGGAATTGAAGTTGCTTGGAACCAGGTTAAGGTCACGGATATACTAAGGAATTCTGTGGACTTGGAGCGTCTTTATTCTGAAGTCCATTTGCTGAAAACTCTCAAGCACAAGAACATTATCAAGTTCTACAACTCATGGATTGATGGCAGGAATGAGAATATCAACTTTATTACCGAAATATTCACTTCAGGAACTCTATGGCAGTAAGTTGATGTATAATGTTTTTGCTGTTGTGACCAAACATAGTTGAACTCTTGAGATTTCACTAATTGATATCCTCACAGCTCTAACAGGCATGTCGTTCTAATTTTTTATATATATTTCAAAGCCATTCAAATTTTCCGTTAATCATACTTTTCCAAAGGTATTTTAGAAGCCAGTGTGCAAGGATGGGTGCTCAAACATGATGGGGCTTATCATAATATATTTGCACCATAGAATTTGCAGGATAATTATGAAGCTACATGAGAATAATAGGATATTAGCCTTTTCTCAAACGTTGACATTTTTAGTATGATTTTGGATCTCATTTCTGATTCATGAAAGTTTCCTTTCTCCATGCATATTTAGGTATCGTAAAAAACACAAAAAGGTTGAGGTGAGAGCATTGAAGAATTGGGCCAGGCAGATACTAGAGGGGCTTTCCTATCTTCACAGTCATGATCCTCCAATTATTCATAGGGATCTTAAGTGCGACAATATTCTTGTAAATGGTAACCAAGGAGAGGTGAAAATTGGTGACTTAGGACTGGCTGCCATTCTGCGCAAAGCTCGTTCAGCTCACAGTGTCATTGGTGAGTTCATAAGTTTTGATATTCTTATTATTATTTTGTTCTTCAAAAAAAAGCAGAAAGTTTTGCTGAATCAATCAAGAAAACAGTCACTTAACTATTTAACCCTTCTACCAGGGAAGCTAACCGTATCCACATCATTCAAACAAGCTTAGCAACCTTGCCATGATCAGGCAGATATAGAATAATGAGAACTGAGAAGTTTACTTTGGGATAAGCAAAAAACGGAAGTGGGAAGTTTATTTTGTGACAGATGGAGCATTGTTTATTTATTTTCTTTTTATTCATAAACTCAACAGTTTACTTTAGCCTTTTAGGCTCTTGCCCACAATACATTAGATAGGACGCTTTGGGAGTCGAGGATTAAGATAGAAGGGTAGTAGGTTGTTTTGTCTTTTTCTCGCAGGTTTGAGAGGATTCAAGAGAAGGGTTAGGCCGGTTAGCCCTTTCGTGCGGTTAGTAATTTTTTTAGGGGTAGATGTTTGTTATTTGTGTACTAGAATGTGCTGTTACATGTGCAGTGTATCTTGTTATGTTGCTTGCATATCTCCTTTTTCTTCTTTTCCTTTCACTCTTTTATTATACGTTCTTGTCTCGCTAACCTCCTTTTATTTCATCCCTTTGAGCCGATGGTCTATTGGAAACAACATCTCTCTGTTGTGGGTACGAGTAAAGTTTTGAATGTTCATCCTACACCTTCCTCAAACCCCACTCGTGGAATTACACTAGGATTGTCGTTGTTGCCCCTAATACAGTATACAGTACTCCTGAGCTATCAGCAGGATTTGGGGGGGGGGGTGCTATCCTCTAAGTTCTACTACTTTTGCTATTTCGCTCTTTTTGTTGCTTTAGTTTTGGATTTAACAAAAAATATGATTCTATTATATATATTAGGCACACCGCAATTCATGGCTCCAGAACTCTATGAGGAGGATTATAATGAACTTGTAGACATATACGCATTTGGTATGTGCTTGCTGGAGCTTGTGACCTTTGAATTTCCATATGCTGAATGTGCCAACCATGCTCAAATATACAAGAAAGTGATAGCAGTAAGCATTCAGATTGTCCTTTTAATCTTTTACAGATCCATCTTATTCTTTATTGGTTTTTCAAATTGAACTAGTCCATGCACATTTTAACTGACTTGGCATATCATAGCTCTATGTGGTAATGTTATAGTCTTTTAGGGTTACAACTGTGGTTGACTCTACTAGTTTTTCCTAGGCAAAAATCATGGAGCCTGGAGGTAAGAGAATGCAGTTTTTCATATTAAATATATATAGTGGCAAATGAGATGGAGGGATAAAACTCTGGCATTTGAATTGGCCAAAGTAAAACTGAGCTGTTGGCATTTATCAGTATTATTTTGTAGAAACATTAAATCATCAATGGTTTGCACCTTCTCCTAGTAAATATTCAGTTCTTCATTTTCAAAAACTGTTTTACTTCATTTTCATGGAAACAGCCTCTCTACTTTCGAGTAGGGGCAAGGTTTGCGTACTCACACCCTCCCGAGACCCTACTCTCGTGGGATCCAACTAGGTTGTTGTTTTACTTCATTTTCACAATTTCATTTCAAATTCACCTCAGTGCAAGAATGAAGGGAAAAGGGGCCTGGATTATCTATAAAATGACAAGCAAGGGAGTGTTTTGCTATTAGTTTTGATAACAAGTGATAACTCTGTTTTCAAAAGAACATTTAAGTAGTAGTAGAAATAACACTTTTTCTTGGGATGCTTTTACAATGAAGTGGAAAATATGATTTTTATATTGTAAATGTATGCACATTAAAAACAAAACATTCTGAATTTCTGAAATGTCTCTAATGGGTAGAGGGAACTACAGGTAGGAAACTGAAACTGTAGTAAGTAGGCTCTCAATGGCTCTATTAATTTATTTATTTTGGGGTGGGGTTTCAAACCTTGGTGGGGGGAGTTAAGGAGGGGGAGGGGAACAGCCAAGCTATTTCCACCACACCGCCTTAATTGTTTAGTTTTACTTCTTTAGAGCTTTGAGCTTCTCTTTCAAGTGAGGAGATGAAAATTAATTTTTTTCAATAAAGAAGTTGGAGCTTTTACACATTCTCACACGCGCACATTGTCTCCCACTCAATCTCTTTCTCCATCTCGCATGTGCACACATCGTCTCACGCTCTTTCTCCCTCTTATTCTCCCTCTTATTCTCCCTCTTTCTCTCTCCTTCACGCTTTCTGATGCTTCATGAAGATAGCCACTTCAGATTTCCTTTTCTCGTGTAAATTAGCTTCATGAAGAAAGCCACTTCGGGTTTTATCTTCTCCTATAAACTAGTAAGTGCGATGTATGTTGGTGTCAAAAATGTCATTGTATGAGTGCTTGCCATCATTCATGTGTTAATTTGCCATTCGATGCATTTTGGGGTCATGACTATGATTAGAGATGGAAGACAGCAGCGGACACATCTTCAAGTGCAAGCCATTATCTTATGTTTTATATTTATGTATATACGGAGTACATGGATAAAATGATTAGGGAACTGGTCATGATAATTGTTATTCAATCTGATTTGAACACGTTTTCCTTTTAAGGAGAACTGTTCAGATTTATTGAGGTAGAATTGTGATCTGAACAGGGAGCAACCCACTTAAAGTCAAACTCTATTTTCCTTTTTATTTCTTTCTTGTTCACATGATTCTTGTGTGCTAGTGACAACTTAGTTTCATTCAATTAGAAATGAATAAAGTCAACATGTCATGTGTTGTATGGCCTGGATATCTGTCAGTGCATTTGTTTTTTCTCAGTTCTAATCTACTAAAGAGTATAATGAATTTCAAACTCCTGACAAATAGAATTCCAAGTAATGTGAAGATTTTTACACTTTTTTGCCTTTTGGGGGACTTCAACCTGCACTATCAAAATCTTTGTGTGGAGAACTTATGATGATTCCAGATTTAGGATTTCTAGTGTGGTTTATGCTTAAACGTATTGTTATAATGTTCTACAAATTTGTGTGTGTGAGTATTTAATTACTTATAATCTTGGTGGTTCTTTATATTGATTTGCAAGGGAATCAAGCCAGCATCATTGGAAAAGGTGAAGAATCCCGGAGTTAAAGAATTTATCGAAAAGTGCATTGCAGAGGTCTCTGAACGCTTGTCTGCCAAGGATCTTTTAATGGATCCTTTTCTCACGTCAGATGATGATTCTGGAAGCTTTGCTCGCTCCTCATCCAATCTTCAACTTGCAGGTACTTTTTCTGCAACTGGATTAGTTTTTTTGTTGTTACGTTCATAAAATTTTTTCATGAGTCCTTGACTTTTCTGTATCTGAAAAATGTTGCAGATAGTCATCACAATTATGAACCCAACGGTTCAGAGGCGGGGGGACACCTACTGCCTGAGGGTGCTCGGGACTTTACAGTGCAGGGTCAAAGGAAGGACTTGAATACAATATTTTTGAAACTACGAATTGCTGATTCATCCGGTAAACTTGTTTTCTTCATTGATCTGAGAATATATTGTGTATTTTTTATTGTTTGGTAGAGCTTATCTTGGATCATATAGCTCATGTTAAGTTCTATCATAACAGAAACTTAACAGCTTAAAATAAGCTCTTATTTGAAAAGCCATACTCTATAGCATATGAGAAATACTCCTTCCACCCATTGGCTTTTTCCATATTTCCATTTTTGTCAATATTTTGCTGTTTCGTTTTTGTTTGTCCAGAGTATTTTCCAATTTCCTTTGTTTTAGGAAAAGAAACTTTTGGTTCATATCTTTTCTCTTTTTTTTCTTTTCTAAATAACAACATTTTTTATCTATTTGTCTTTCCTTACATAACAGACTCTTTTGACTGATGACGGCCTTATGGGCAGGTCACATTCGGAATATCCATTTCCCATTCGATATCCAAGTTGATACCGCAAATGCAGTTGCTAGTGAGATGGTTGAGGAACTGGACCTTACAGACCAAGATGTCTCTGCAATTGCTGCCATGATTGATGCCGAAATCAGGTCATACATTCCAGACTGGGCACCAGAAGAGAGACCCCATCCTCAGATATCCGTTGTTGAAAATCCAAGTCCAGATGATGTCGGCACTTCTAGAAGCCGTGATGAACCTTCTGCAGCCGAGTGCATTTGCTCTGGTGCTGGTCTTGTACTAGAAAAGCTCCCTTCGGGTCGTAAGTATTGGTCCGACTCACCCAAAACCAGTCCTGCTAACTCTCCTCTCAGGCCACCACGACCCGATTCACCAAACACCGAATCCAGCTGGACTGAAGTAAATGAGAAGCCAGTGGAAAATTCGTGCCCGCACGAAACCAATCCCCAAAACGAGCCGAATCAAACAAAGACACCAAACGAGACGTGCACTGATGCCACTGAAAGAGCTGTGCAAAAACTGGAGAAGCTCATGCTTGAGCAGCAAAACGAGCTGGACGAATTGAGAAACAAACATGAGATGGCTATCTTGGGCATAGTTGAGGAACTTCCTCTTGAAATTCGGGATGGAGTTCTCGCCATTTGTAGCAAGCAGATCTCCATCCATAAGTCACAATACGAGCGAGGATCTTCTTCTCATTCTTCGACTTCTACTTGGAACTCTAAAGATCGAAGCGCTTCTTCGTAGATATAATAAAGCAAGCAAACTAGCAAACCATTGATTGGTTGATTGATAGCAAATCATCATAATGCCGAGGAAGGTACGTCCCTCTATGAGTGACACTTTCTTTGAGTGCTTGAATAGGTTTCTAACTCACTACGTCGTGTTTGATCTGAAAAAGAAAAAAAGAAGGCTTTTAAATTTCCGTGGAGTGTATTATACCTGTACATATGGATTCGTGTTGTATTAGCGACTGTATTTGTTGCTCATGTCTGTTTTGTTTGTTTTTGCAATTCACATCAAGCTGAACATATAATAAGATTTGCTTTTTTGGCTTCTTTTTTTAAATACAATGTCTATACAATTATAGAAACTAAGTGACCAAAATACTTAGCGGGATCAATAACTCCTAACTACTGGGTGTGAAGGGTTTGTTTACGAGGCAGATGACCTCTTGGTATTGACCGACCCCGCGGGGCTAGTGTGGTCGATCACGGTCCCGTGGATGAGCACGGGGTTGAGGTCCAACCTCCAAATGCCTTTACTCAGGGTGTATGATCTTGGGGTCTTGAGTCCTCTTATTTGGGTCTCGTATCCCCTAGTTTTAGGGTATCCATGGCCTACAGTTTATCAGTTTTATCAAATTCATATGGTAATTTAACAAACAAGATTACTATCCACAGATCAACTTATATTTTCCTTTTTTCACTTAAATCTTTTGTTGCGACACCCCGGTTCATGTGACATTGATGTTCAATGTCATAAAATGGATGTCCCGAGGCACCTACGGTGCTCTGTAAAAAAAATTGATGGTGTTCCTATTCCCTAATTTTCATTTCCTCTACCATTCCTTGATTGGCTACACGTGAAGGGCGAGGGAGCCGATGCTGCAATGGGAACATGGTGGATTAGAAGAGGAACCATCAATTTTTCGAACAGAACACTGTGGGTGTCACGAATAAAATAATCTAGACATCTCTTATTTTATAAATTTTTTTATTTGCCTTTTAAATTCTTCCTTCGTTCCAAGAACTTCACAATTAAACTATTTAATTGAAATTATATTCTAAATTTACCAAACCTATTATACTCTATATCAAAGTAGCGATGAAAATATACAAAGAGTTGCGATAAAGTTTAATCATGTGAATAATAATTGATTTTTTAAGAATTGAGGTAATAAATAAATATTATTTTTACTTTTATACTTTATTCTAAATAATTTGAAAAAATTTTTTTAGATCAGAACATGAAGTTTACTTAGGAAGGAAGAGTGCACGTTAAAAGTTCTAAAAACTAAGAGGTGAGTAAAAAAAAGTATATGAAAAAAGATGTAATTTGACATTATGAATAATGTTGGACTTGTTTATGATTTGAGGTACAATTCCATTTACTTTTAGGAAATCACAATTTTTAACATCAAAGAATAATTTATTTCACCAATAAATGGAGAAAAAGTTTAGAGGAAACCCAACCGTTCGGGTCATACTATACAATCGACCATGCTATACACTCCAATATAGAATGCTACAGAATACGGTCGACCGGGCTATACACTCTAGTATCGAATGCTACAGATGGCCGAGTACGTTGGACGGTGTTAACTTTTTGAACCATTTCTATAAGTGTGATCCAAACGGTCCACCGGCTCGACTATGACCTGGTGGTTTGAGCCTTCTTGTTCGTCTTTTCTCCGGGTTTCGATTCTTCAACCTCGAGGAGGATTTCCTTAGCTGCCTTCTTGTGTCCGCCCCAAGATACCTGTGATTTATCATATAAAGACAAATAGACATTATACTTTTTCCTGAGTCCATGTGATGGGTCCCACGACTATTACATATCTTAAAGTCTCATCGTCTTTCTTTGAATCGTCTAGGACTTTCTTGGTTCGTGTTCGGATGATGGGACCTGCTGGAGCGATCTAGTACGAAGGCTTGCTTTTCGAATTCACATCATCTTTCATCTTCACGTGATAAATATATGAAAAATATCGTATATCCAAATGTATTACATATAGGGGGCCTGTTTGAGAATAACGTTTGAAATTAGCATTAGCGTTTTGAAAAAGCTATCCACGGGCAACGTTAAGCGTTACCAATTTCAAAGTAATCTACACAGTTAAATTTTTATTCAAAATGTTATACTAATCTCTAACGCTATTTCCAAACATATCCATAGACTCTGCAATTTGTGTTCTTGATCTTGGAATGAAAGAATAAGGGGCTAATTTTGCAAAATTGAGAGTCCTTTGGGCCATTTCTATAATTTCTTCGGAATCCACGCCCTCTTCTCAGTGTTTCAACTTCAGCCACATTTCCAATTCTATCCTAAGCTAAACACACTTCAGACCGCCTCCACCCTATCCTCTTCCTTCCCATTCTCCCCCAAATCAAAATTTCCGCCCCTATGGCTTCGATCTCCGCCGCCGTCGCTGCAAAATTGGTCTACCCCTACGCCCCATCCCCCGCCCCCGGCGTAGCCTCCCCAAAACCCTCAAACGTCACTCTGTCATCCTCGTTCACGCCCACTCTGTCCGCCCACTTCCTCCGCTACCCCGCCGCCGTCCGACGCCGCCGGCTCACGGTCCGCGCCGCCCGCGGGAAGTTCGAGAGGAAGAAGCCCCACCTCAACATCGGCACAATCGGCCACGTCGACCACGGGAAGACCACCCTCACCGCCGCCCTGACCATGGCCCTAGCCTCCGTCGGCGGATCTTCCCCCAAAAAATACGACGAGATCGACGCCGCCCCGGAGGAGAGAGCGCGCGGGATCACCATCAACACCGCCACGGTCGAGTACGAGACCGAGAGCCGCCACTACGCCCACGTGGACTGCCCCGGGCACGCCGATTACGTGAAGAACATGATCACCGGCGCCGCCCAGATGGACGGCGCCATTCTGGTGGTTTCCGGCGCCGACGGGCCCATGCCCCAGACCAAAGAACACATCTTGCTGGCCAAGCAAGTTGGCGTCCCCAACATGGTGGTCTTCCTCAACAAGCAAGACCAGGTCGACGACGAGGAGCTTCTCGAGCTCGTCGAATTGGAGGTAAGAGAGCTCTTATCTTCTTATGATTTCCCCGGCGATGACATCCCCATTGTTTCAGGCTCTGCACTCTTGGCCCTAGAGGCATTAATGGCAAACCCTAGCATCAAAAGGGGCGAAAACCAATGGGTAGATAAGATTTACACTCTCATGGACTCCGTGGACGATTATATCCCCATCCCACAAAGACAAGTTGACCTCCCATTCCTAATGGCGGTCGAAGATGTGTTCTCCATTACGGGTAGAGGAACGGTCGCAACCGGTAGGGTAGAGAGAGGGACCGTTAGGGCCGGGGACACGGTTGATCTAGTAGGACTAAAGCCCACTAGGAACACCACCGTCACGGGTGTCGAAATGTTCCAGAAGATTCTAGAGGACGCGATGGCGGGGGACAATGTGGGGTTGTTGTTGAGAGGGATACAAAAGGGCGACATCCAAAGGGGGATGGTGTTGGCGAAGCCGGGGACGATTACCCCGCACACCAAGTTTGAGTGCATTGTGTATGTGTTGAAGAAGGAGGAAGGGGGGAGGCACTCCCCCTTCTTCGCCGGGTATAGGCCGCAGTTCTACATGAGAACGACTGACGTGACGGGGAAGGTGGTCGGGATTAAGAACGACAAGGACGAGGAGTCGAAGATGGTGATGCCGGGGGATAGAGTGAACATGTTGGTGGAGCTCATCATGCCCGTTGCTTGCGAGCAAGGAATGAGATTCGCTATCCGGGAAGGCGGGAAGACCGTGGGCGCCGGGGTCATCCAGAAAATCATCGAGTGAGACGATTTATAATTAAAAAAAAAAACTAAATCGTTTTCTTTTTCCTCATGAAAATTAACATTGTATCTCCATCGTCCCGTCTGCATATTTTTTTTCTTCCAATCTTTGTTGCAATGTGACCGAACATCTTGTCGTATATTCAAGTGTTTTCGTTTTATGGCGTCGCACGCCTTTAGTTGTGTAGCTTGAGAGTTGAATTTTTTTCACTAGATGGATGGTTTTCTTCCATCTTCTTTGTCTTCCCCATTCACTGCTATGTTCTTTTCCAATCTGTGTTAATGGTAATGCTATGTTAACAAGTGATCATTCATCTAGGGTTTGTAATTTCAGACTGAAATGTGCAGATTTGAATTGAAAGTAAATGAAAAGTGCTGAACAAAATTGAGAACTTTTGAATTGAATTGGACTAAATTGGAAGTAGAATGAAAAGAAAAGGTTCATATTGTGGATGATTGAGCTTGGCTTGTTTATTTGAGACAATCGAGTCGAGTTCGAGCTCGTTTTGGTACTTGGTTTACAAAATGAGCGGGTTCGGCTCGGCTCGAAAGCTCAATTGGGAATGGTACTTAGGGGCATAATTTACATTAATCCTCCAAACAACCTAGTATAATCCCTATGTTTTTGAGTGTCAAGATGTATGTATGCTTAACCCAGTACAATATAGAGATATTGTGGGTGTTTTTTAGAGCACTGGTAATGGTCATGAAGCCTCGGGGCTTCAAACCGGGGCTTCAAACTTTCTCTCTCTGCCACGTCAGCTTTAACTTACATCCAAAATTCACTGGAAATGGTTTTGAAGCCCCGGGGCTTCAAACTGGGGCTTCAAACCTTCATTTTTTACATTTTTAAATATACATCTTCTAAATTTAAATTTATAAATTTAAATTAATTTATTATTTTAATTAATCGCAATGACACTATTGCATAAAAAAATTAAATTCATTATAAAAAAATCTTACATTCATAAAAAAAACATTTAAAAAAATTACATTCATTAAAAAAAATTACATAAAAAAACAACAGTACAAAGAAATCACTAATTATTCGAACGACTAAAGATATGATCGATCAAATCCGCCGTTAGTGCATTGTGAATCTCTCAGATTCGAATTTCTTGGCGGTTGCGTCGTTTCTTTTCTTCGGTGATTTCTTCGTACATAGGCACCTCCTCGTCCGGGTTGTATTGACAAATCGCAGACCCGTTATCCTCTATGATCATATTATGAAGAATAATACATGCGTACATGATATTCCTCATTTTTGTCTGAGAATAACATTTCGACGGACGATCTAGAATGTGCCACTTAGCCTTCAAGACCCCAAAGGCTCGTTCAATATCTTTTCTCGCCGCCTCTTGAGCTTTTTTGTAGGTTTGGCGTTTAAGACCCATTGGTTCGGAGAGAGATTTGACAATCGTGGAATAATCCGGATATATTCCATCAGCCAAATAATATTCGCGCTTGTAAAGCGTCCCTCTAAGTTCAAAAGAGGAGTCCGGTGCGGTCTCATTAACCCAATCGTCAAAAACAGGCGATTGATCGAGAACGTTGATGTCGTTGTTCGAGCCCGCGACTCCGAAAAAAGCATGCCAAATCCACAAGTCATTCGAAGCAACAGCTTCGAGCATGATGGTAGGCTTGGGATGATCTCCCCGGGAGAATTGACCGGGCCACGCAGTGGGACAATTTTTCTATTCCCAATGCGTGCAATCAATACTCCCAAGCATGCCGACAAAGCCGTGTTTAGTGGCATGCCTCGCCTGCAACTGCTAGATGTCGCTCGCTGTAGGCTTGCCTAAATATCTTTTATGATAAATTTGAATAATAGTTTTGGAAAATTTATAAACACAGGACCTGATGCTCCGAGCAGACATCTTTAAGTATTCGTCGAACATATCGGATGCTGTCCCATACGCCAACTGACGGAGCGCGGCAGTGCACTTTTGGACGCTACTAAACCCGCGTCGGCCTCTCGCATCAAACCGTTGGTTGAGCCAAGGAACCTCGCGTTCAACATCGGCGAGTATGCGTAAGAACAGAGGACGGCTCATCCGAAAACGATTACTAAAATCCTCCGGTGTATAAACACACGGATTATTAAAGTAGTCGTTTAGAAGTGAATCGTGGGCGGCCGCTCGATCCCGGTTTAGACGTTGGCATCGGGTCCGTCGTCGGGAGGATTCGGCTTCTTCTTGGCCATCTTCCCACCATTGAATACAATTCGTCGCGAAACAACGAAAAAATAAAGTTCTTCTTTCATCGTCGGAAGATGAACCCATTTTTAAATTATATTTTATAAATATTTATAATAAATAATAAATATTTTTGAGAGAATATATAGTAATAAAGAGAGATTTGTGAGAGAGAGGTGTGAATTTATAAGAAAAAAATTTGAAGATGGAGAAGATGTGAGAGATTGGGAGGGGGGGTTTGAATTTATAAGAATTTTTTTTTTTGAAAAGGGGTGCAACGGCTATAAAGCCGTTGGGAGGGGGAGGGGAGTGGAATGACGCCGCGTCATTCCTTTGACGCAGGGGCGATCACGCCCGATCACGCCCGGAGGGGGGCGGTGTTTAACGCCGCCGGAGCGTTAAACGCCCCCTCACGCCGTGAGGCGTTGCTGGTATTACCAGTGCTCTTAGTGTCAAGATGTATGTAGCCTTACCCCAATTAAAGATAGGGATATTGTGGGTGTTTTTTAGTGTCAAGATGTATGTAGCCTTACCCCAATTAAAGATAGAGAGATTGTGGGTGTTTCTCTGTGCTAGACTGCTAGTGCTTATTGGCTTAGTACTGATAAGCAGTTTTTAACTTTTAAATTGCTTGTAAGTCAAATATTCTTTAATAGAAATAAAATGACTTAAATGATAGATAAGTCACTTGGAAATATTCATAAATGGTGAGGGACAATTGTGTAAATAATTTGGTCAAAATAGAGAAATGAAAAAACTGGTTTGAAAATAAGTAATTTATTTTTTCTGGCTTATAAGCAAGTTATTACTCATCTTATAAGCATACAGAAACATGTCATCAGCTGACTAATAAGTTAAAAACTCTTTATAAGCAGTATTGATCAGCTTATAAACACAAAGAAACACCTACATTGTTTCCGTTAGACCCTTATGCATTGCTAAATTTACTATCCCAAACCTCATTGAGAGTAAGAAGGCAAGGAAGTTCAGCAGATATTTCTCAAAATTGTATATAAACTATTTTTAACTTATAAGTCACTTGATTACATGTTCTCCGTTTTAACTAGATTATTTGCAGTACTACTTATTATCTCCCTCTTTTTACGAATATCGTCATGCTATTTGTCTATTATTTAAGTCATTTTACTTCCACGAAAGAATATATAACTCGTATGGAGTTTATAAGTTAAAAATTATTTATTACCAATAAGTCAATAAACACTAGTATAGAAAAGCAATTTTTTATGTGACATTTTAATTTAGTCTACTTCCTCGGTCTTTTTTTTTCTTTCCAATTTCGAACAATATATAAAATTCAATCTTTTTTAAATTTGAAAGCGTAATTTCGCAGTTCAAACGCACATCACATATACTACTAACACTTCTTGTTGACATTTTTATATTACTGTTCAATTAAGAAGTTCATAGTTTGATTTCACCGGGTTTTAAGTAAAAATGATTTTTGAAATATAGTTAGAATTTGGTTGAAAGAGAAAGAATTTTAGGGTATTAAGACCACATTTTTTACATACTTGAAAAGAAAAGTGATGAAATATCTATTTTATTGTGACCTACTTAAAAAACTTTATTTTGATTTTCAAAAAGTTAAAATAAAGTGTTCAAAAGCGAAAGTTGTAAGATTAAAATTTATATAAATGAGAGAATTTTTGTTAGCGATATGTTCATTGCTAAAAAAATAAAGGGATTATAAATCTTCACTGGGACATTTAAAAATGAAAATTTGGGATGGAGGAAGTATTAATATATGGTTCAAATTTGTCACAGGATAATATTCTTATTTTGGAGGTTTAAAACATGTAACTCCTATTTTGATACTTTCTTTGTCCAATAAAATATTTCTTGTTTGCTATTCTAGGCTTTCGATAACTTTTGTTTGCGTGTACTTTTTCCTTGATCATTTATTAAAATAAAATATTCTTGTCACCACTTATTTTGTACCCAGAAGAACTTTTGGTTTAGTTTTTAAATATGTAAGATATATTCTCTTTGTCCCAAATTTAAATTATCTGTTTTGATTTACGATATTTTTCTAAAGTTATTTACAGTACAATTTATTTGAGGACTGAAACGAAATTAAAAAATAAAATTTATTCATTGAAAAACTAAATGAAACATTTTATGAAACTAAATGTGACATGACTATATATATTATTTTGTCAAATAAGTAACGAAAATAACAAAAGAAAATAAATGAAGTTTTACCCTAGCCTGTGAATAATATACAAGAAACTTAAATTGGGACGGAAGAATTACTTTTTCATTTCTATAACAATTTGTAAATAAAATTATTTTAAAATGGGGCCGAGGGAATGCACCAAGCTTTATTGTAAGAAAAGGGATTCGTTAAAGAGATCTTTGTAGCATAGTATTCTTCAATTTATTCCTTATGTAATACAATTATTCTTATTATCATTAATTACTTGCATCATGTACGGAGTACTTGCATCATGAAGAAAATTGCAACACAATACAATAATAAAATGTGATCTAGTGAAAAATGTTACAGTTACTACAACTTTTACTCCATCTTTTATTCCAATATTTTCATGCACATACACAATCATTGAAAATTAGTTGTGTGATCTGTGAGAACGTAGGCTGCCCCTAGCATATATATATATATATATATATATATATATATGATTCATCAACGAACTATGTGCGCTTTTGCCATTCGTTTAGTTTGACAAAGGCGCCGGTGTTATTCAAATCCGGACCCAAGTAAAACCCGTCCTCTCTAGCCAGCCAATAACATCTATAGTGATTTTTATCTGGGTAATTGCCACAATGGTCCAATGCCAAGTCTTCTGTGTATGTATCAAACACGCTCTCTTTCTGCTCTGCGCCCATGTAGAAATGACAGAAGAAGAGCGTCCTGCTGAACACGTGGGATTTGAAGTTCCACCGGAACTCATCGTACACGCCGAGCGTGTGGTAGCCCAAGTCGTCGTCTTTGGACTGACAACGGACCAGAATCGGAGACGACGATAGGAGAGCGTTCATCACGTGGACCTCGACGCCCGTGCTCCATTGGAATAGGGCTTCACAAGGGGGTGAGAATGATAAGGAGGAGGAGAAGACAACAAGAATGATAATGAGGATCATCAAGGAATTGTGACCAAGGGTTTTCATGTTCTTTTGTTTGGTTTTTTTAATGCTTCTATATGCATGTTTATATTTTTATATGAAGTAAATTTTATAAATGGTATTAAGTAATTAAGATTATTCCATATTTAATCTGTTACCTCCTCCGTCACACAATGGATTGCATTTGAATTGTTTATTCCAACATCTCGATAATTTTTACATAGTATTTATTTATATGTTCTTATTTATTATTTGATAAAATAAAACATTTGACGTAATTTTTAATAGGTAAGCACGTTGTATTTTTTTAATTTCTTACTAATTAGTAATTCTATTGGATGTTCATATTAATTGTGAACGTTATCCAGTGTTAATCCTCTATGTCATAAAATATCAACTAATCAAAAGGTTCTTTAAATTTGGAAAATAATTGTTACTTTTAGTCATTTCATAGTGCAGAAATTTATCCGTTCAAATGTGTAATATTGTCTTCATTGAATAAGTGTAAAAGTAAATATGATTTATATAGTTTATATTTATGAAAATGAGAGGGAAAGAGTACTAAGTACGGAGTACTAATTAACTATCTTCCACGTTAAAGGAATCAAATAAGACAAATTAGGACATACATAAGTAAAAATAAAAATATTAAAGATACATAAAATGAAAGTAATGGATAGAGTGGGATAGACTCAAATATGTGTAACATGTTAGGCCCAATGTACTTAATTCTTTCCATAGTTATTAATTATTTGTCTTCAAGTTGGTATCCACATGAAATGAATGACAATAAGTGGTTTCTAAACTGATTTAATCTAATTTGATTCCACATTAATTATTTGTATTTAGGTTGGTGTCCCAATGATCTGATTCTTAATTATTATTTATTACTTATTCTTATTGGAATCAGATTAGATAAGAAACAATTTTAATACAACTGAAATAAGATCAGATGAGACCTGACCATATCAAATCAGATCAAAACTTATTTCAATCAAATCAGAATCAACATGATCAGATGAAGAAAACAAGTCCTAACTTGTTTGAAAGTGAAGATCCATTCTATCGAAGTGATTGGTGAGGTATGTGCCAATAAAGAAACACCACAGTCATTTTTTATCAATATGGAGGGCACAAGCCTAGACAGACGTCTCTAACTCGTTTCTCGAATCCTTCGATACCACAATCATCATCATCATCATCATCATTATGGAGTACTATTATTATAATTATTATTATTATGGTCTGGGAAGGGTGTGTGTATGCAGACTTTACTCCTACTCAAAAGTAGAGATACTGTTTCTAAGAGATCCCTGACCCAAGCTGCACAAATAGAAGGATCAAAATAGATACATAAAGAAGGAACTGCAAGTAAATAACAAATAGCACCAAACTTACAAGGCATATAAAGCACATAGCAACACCCTTACGTTAATGCACCTACCCAGCTACTCTAACCCTAGCTCTCAAGAGGTCCTATCTAAGGTCATTTCCTCACTAAGGGCAAGAAGTCATAAATCATGTTTAATCATCTCCTTCCAACTCTTCATAGGTCTACCCCTTCCCCTACTTCCCCTACCAACGTAAGCCTCTTACATCTCCGCACTAGCACGTCAGCATTCCGCCGTCTCTTATGACTGAACCACCTCAACCTAGTTTCTTGTAGCTTATCTTCCACTAGCACCATCCCTAACTGACCTCGGATAACATCATTCAAATATTATCCAACCTCGTCCTCCCACATATCCAACATAACATTCGCATCTCCGACGCATGCAGACGATGCACGTGAGTCTTCTAAACACTCTAACACTCCATTTCATAACACATAGCTGCTCTGACTACAGACCAATAGAACTTACCATTCATCCTGGGCAAAACCTTCTTATTACACAATACCCAAGCTGCTCCAATACGATGCACAACATCCTTGTCTAACTCCCCATCTTCCTTGATGATCGAGTCAAGATATCGAAACTTGTCTACCTTGTGCATTAGGTGATAATCAATCCTAACTTCTACCTCTAATTTCGTCTCCCGGCCACTGAAATGATATTCTATTTATTAATTCATGATTCTACTCAGTCTATCTCTAATAAATGAATAACAACTTGTAAACTTAGCAAAAAATGACCGTCGTATTTTTTCCCCGAAAATACTAATTTTTAAACAAATTGTAGGTATCGTTAACTGAACACAAAGATGGTCGAACCTAAAAATGACCCACTAAAAGGGTGGAACCCGATCTAGACGACATACTACGATAAGGCTTTTTAAAAATCATGTGTTTTAATATGATATATAATGTGATAAAAATGTTGTTATAATATTATTTTTCCCTCATTACTCCTTTTTAGTGTTGAAACTTATCTTTCAAATAAGTTTTAATGATTATTTATAATGTTGTTGTATATATCTAAAGATTACTAAAATAAAAAAATAAACAACTTTGTATTATAATAGGAACTCCCTCCATCTTGATTTGATTTTTTCATTTCTCATAAATATGTGCATTCGGACAAAAATACCCTCTCTTCCCTTTAATATTTTCACAACCCACCTACTTCCACTTTTTAAGTAAGGTTATTTTGAACAAGTCCACAACATAATCAATCTCTCTTAAAAATGAAGAAATGTCAAAATGAGGAGATCAAATTTGAACAAATGAGTGTATACACATAATCAACCTCTCTTAATACACACACACAGTTTCTACTTTTTACAGTCAAATGTTTTCAATCTCTGACTTAAAATTAAGTCAATATTTATATATCATATATCAATTAGACAATAATATTTTGAAAATATTTTTTAAAATAAACCTAATAACATTATTTTTGCATCAATATTTTAAAATAAACCTAATAACATTGTTTTAATTAATTTGTAGGCAAATTTTGTCAGTTTTGACCAAAAAAGTCAAAAGTAGACAAATAATCAAGGACGTATAAAATACTTCATTCATCCCAAAAAGTCTTTCCTTTTTCATTTTCATCCATCCAAAAATATTTTTCATCTTCCAATTAAAATCCCCTATTAATCTACGTATCACATCATATCTATGCATTATTAATCTATCTACCAAATCTTATTTTCACTTTAAGAAGTTAACATTGAACACGAAAGCAACCTTTTTCAAAAGTGAAGAAGTGTTTTGGAACAGATGTAGTATATCATTTCTAAGGTCAATGTTGATTTTCTAATAAATTTACACCCCTATTAATATTATGTACTTCCTCTATCCCAATTTATAATGTCTATTCACTATTCACAAGGTCAAACTTCATTCACTTTCTTTCTCTATTTTCGTAAGCAATTTGATAAAATAAAGTACTATTGTCACTACTAGTTTTGTAGATCTTTTGATGTAGTATTTTAATATGTAATTTTTATTTTTTAACTCTATACCATTTGTCATATAAAATGATTTGAAAATAATTTCAGTCAAACACCGTACACAAAAATAGGCACTATAAATTGGGAGTTTGGGACAGAAGAAGTATTATATTATCTTCTCCGTCTCACAAAAAATTACACATTCTTCTAAAAGAATATTATAATGAGTCCATGAGCCACAAGCACACCCATATATTGCCAAGACATTGGCCACCACAAATAAATGAAACCTTTTAAATACATAAAATGGCACTTCAACTTGGTTCCTTCCACAAATACAATTATCATATTGTCATGCCACACACATCTCAAGGCCATACTCATCATTCTCACCTCAAATTCCATTGCTCATTTTACATATAACCTCACACAACACCATATGCATATATATAATGACTAAAAATATGCATTAATAACTATTGTTAATACATACATATATTTGCCATTGGTCACCACTTTGATGGCAACTTTTGGCCAAGGAACTTGAAAGTGTTTGCTAATCAATCCAAGAAAATGGTTGAAGCCATCAGCTCTTGAAAGAACATTGCCCGCTTTTGCTTCTCTTCATAATTTTCAACCCGAGCTGGATCAGACCGATGCTGCTTGCTGTTACAACAGGTTAGTGGTAACTCCGTAAATAACTTTTGTCAGAAAACCAACAAATCCATTAAAATCCCGTTAAAAAAGGTGTCTCGAACTCTTGACATCTTGGTCAACAAGGCTTTGATACCATGTCAAGGAACCAGCTCAAGCTTATGGTCGTAGGCCCATGATTGGTTTTATACTCTAACACACATTACCCCTACTATGAAGTAAAGAGGTTGTTTTCCCAATACATACCCAAATCAGATGGGAAAAAACTATGCAAATCAGGTTTTAGTACCTCTGTGAACCAGTTGCATTAGCAACGTCACAAGATATGCTCTCTTTTTGCGCGCTTTCGGGCTCAAAAGGAGGCACAATGGGGAGAAATGCAAACAGATGCGAATCGAGGTAAGATGGCTCTTGTAGATTGAAATCACCGTTGAACCCATCTCTGGCAGTTAGTTCTTGCAAGTCCTGCCCAGCCATTGTCGTTGTGTCATTGTTCCATAATCCGGGTTTTTGGTGTTTTCTCCTTCTCTGGAAACAGATAAACAACACTAATGGTTTCTAAAAACTCTTGCGGATAAAATCTCACACCTTATACTCAGGCTAAGAAACGAATAATATATAAGAATTTCCCATATTTACAACAATGTATGACGAAAAACTGTTGAGGACATAATCCCACATCTTATGCTAAGATTTTCCCATGTATACAACAATGTATGGCGAAATACCTTAACAGATTGCACGTGTTGTATTAGGAAATGGCTGAGAGGATCTTTGCCTAGAGACGCAGCACATATCGGACAGACCTGAATCAAGGACGTAAGGTGGATCAGCTAAAAGCTTTTAAGTTGATAGTTAGTGTATTATTACTATTATTACCCAAACGCTAACATCAAAGGATAAGTTCAGATAATATAATAAACCCCCAAAGTGCAAAGAAACTCAAGGGCTTGTTTGGTAAGAGTTATTTGGCTGAAATAGGAAGGAAAAAAAGTACCGCGTTATTCAAGCCGAAGCAATGCTCTTCTTGCAAGTGAGTGCAAAGAACTAGAACATCAATATCTATGTAGCAGAATGGACATGTAAAACATGGCGTCGAAACTTCTTCTCCCTCTTCATTGCCCATGTTCAAGGAGATGTCTCCTAATTCCAAACCAAAATAAACATATCAAAAATGTGTGATTTTACGATACCGTATCAATAACAGAAATGGATAATCAAATCAACCTCTCCACCCTATTAGGGCTATTATAGGAAGTTGGAATCCCAAATATGTAACTTGTACAACAACAACAACAAATCCAATAGAATCCCACAAAAAATATGGTCTTGGGATGAACGTAAGCAGATTTTACCCCTATTATAGGGCAAATATGTTTCTTGTATGAAGAAAATAAATTCCAACTTTATGCATTCTACTATCCCAACATATATAAAATGATGAACAAATAAGAATGAAAGGAAAACATGTAATCCAAATCTGCTTTACTAAAAAACCCATTAAAGATTGATGGTCAAAATCCAAAGCCCTAGGATTCTTTTCCTACAAAATCATGAGACAGATGTGATTCTTTTTCACAAAATCAAGAAGAACACTTGGAACAGTGAGAAGGGTTTGCGAATACTACTATATAATACCAGAATTGCTGACTCTGTTAGCTTGGAAAGATTTTCCTGAGTGTACCCTTCCAGCCCAAAACTCCATATCCAATTTCTATAAACTCAAAATTCTTGGTACCAATTTCCCAAAAAAAAAATCTTGGCAAAAAGAAAAGTAAAAATCAAATTTTGGGTCAGTTTCTTTACTGATTCCTAGAGAATGGGGGGAAGAACTAGGGGAACAAATTGACCAGAAGATGCCCAAATCTAAAGAAGCTTTTAAGGTTGAAGTTGAGAAGAATGAGATGAAGAAGAAGAAGAAGAAAAGCAAGTGGCTCTCTCTCTCTTTCTCTCTCTGTGTTCCTTTTTTCCTTTTCTTCTTTGCTTCCTTGTGAGTCAGCTGTGGGTAGGTGATGGGGATGATGTGTTGTAGTGTTTTGGATTCTTGTGGACATATAAAAGAGAAAAAGTTTCTTTAAAGACTTTGGTACTGTGTGATATTCAGAAAGTAATTCCAAAGAATAGACTACACTACTGTTTCATGCTTGTGAGCTAAGGAAAAAGAAATGGGTCATGCTACGGGTACACTAAAGGTGTACCCCATTTGTACACCACCCCTTGAATAACTACTCATTTATTTTAGATTTTTATTTACTTATTTTTTTTAATTTTCTTGCCTAATTGAGTGGTAATGGAGGGGGAGGGGACGAATGGGGTACACCTTTGGTGTACCCCTAGCATTTTCCAAAAGAAATATGGCAGCCATTTCATTTGGGTTTAGAGTCTTTAGACTTTAGCTAGAGTCATGTTTGGCTATCCTCATTTTAACCTCATTCTTTAGACTAATTAATAGAGAAGAAATAATATTATCAAACTGTATCATAAATACAATATTTCAAGGTTTTTTGTTTGGTTTAAACTTTAAACTGTAAAAACATCGGTACAAAAAATAGGGTCAAACTTGAGATACCGTGAAATTTTTAGTTTGGGATTTAATAGAGTAAAGGGAGAAAGACCAAAGTAGGACTAAAACATTGAAGATATACCAATATAGGACTTCCATATTTTTATTCCTGAAATAGGACTTACATTACCAAACATGGTCATATAATGTTAGTCCTATTTTGGTACTTTAGAGTAATGGTCATATAATGTTACCAAACATGGGAAAAAAACATTAAAGTCCTATTTTGGTACTTTTCTCTATGTTTTAGTCCTATTTAGAATGATTTCTATAGAGTGAATTCATAAAATGGTCATTTGTAATAAGATGTTTTCCCAATTTAGTTATCAATAAGTTTTTATTACTTACATGATTCTCTATAATTGATAGCTATTCCCAACATAATCCTTCGTAAATAATGTTACTCAAATGATGATTAATTAAGAGATATTTTGGTATTTTGATCTTCCAAATTTAAAGTATATTCTCGAAATAGTTATTTCTGCACAACTAAATGTAAAATTTAAAAAATACATTGTTTATAAATAATTCATGAATCATTTAAAACTTAGAAAATATCTTTTAAATTTGAAATTAAATACACATATTTAATTAGAAAAACCATTTTGGAAAAATACTTTATTATAAATGATCATTTTAAGTATTAATTTTAAATGGAAAAAAACCAAAATAGCACTCTAAGAGCATTAAAATATTCTAAATAGCAGTGCTATATGTTTCGTACCTGTGATTCCGATTCTGTCCTTTAATTAAACAGCAAATGTTCATTATTCACTGCCAAAAAATATGATTGTTTTGGGCAGTGTGGTTGTTCACTCGTAATTGTGTAGTGGGCAGTGTGGTTTTTATATGTGAGTTTTTTATGTGGCAATGTAGAATGCATATATGTTGTTATATCTTACGGCAGTGTGTAAATATATTATTGTGTTCCTTAATTTCATGTTGTAGTGTAATGTCCATTGATTTATGTGGCAGTGATTTCATTTATTAATTCTACACTGTCAAAAAATATATGACTATTTTCATGTATGAATTCCACACTACCCAAAAAATGTATAGCTCTTTTTATGTATGAATTCCACACTATTTTTATGTATGAATTCTACACTGCCAAAAATGTATATGATTGTTTTCATTTATGAATTCCACACTGCCCAAAAATGTATGACTGATTTCATGAATAATCTATTACACCAAAACACACTAGCCAAACATGGGCTTGGATTTTTTTGGTCTTTCTTGATTTTGTATAATGTTAGAAGATGTTAGTATTAGACATATGCTGAATTTCATTTATGTGGTAATGAAAAGAAATGGATAATGAAGGTATTATGTTGTAAATTTTAGGACTTTGTAAGCAGCATACACTACAACATTATGTAAATTTGTGCAACATAGCACACTGAAAAGAAATGGATAATGAAGGTATTATGTTGTAAATTTTAGGACTTTGTAAGCAGCATACACTGCAACATTATGTAAAATTGTGCAACATAGGACACTGGCCAAAACATAGGACATAACACACTGCCAAAAAGTATACCTAGATCACAAGCATTCCACACTGCCAAAAATCATTGAGCTTACACTTCATGCTTTATTTATTAAAGTTATTCAAGCACTAGTCATTTTGGTGATTTTTTTATATCCGCTTCCAATGGAACTCAATGAATAATTTATTACATTGGGATTTTTAGATATAAATCCCATTTGACCAAAACACACTAGGCAAACATGGTCATAAGACATTTCCAAAAAGTGTAGCTAGAAGTTGATTATTCCACACTGTCAAAAAATATCAGCCCCTATTCAGTAACACGTTTCCATAACGAACTCTTGAATGTTCAAACCCAATAGTCATAGAACGAAGCACATGGCTTTTGCACAATATGAAACTCAATTCATAATTCATAACATTGGCAGTTTTATATGTATGTCTAATTTCACTGCCATATTATTAATGGAAGTTAATGAAGTACATACAAATTTGTTTAGGTCGCGAACTTTTATACACTGCCATATTTTCACTCTTGTCTGCCACATTATATATAGAAGACAAATTCATTGCCAAAAAGTGTTTGCATAACATGATCAATCTGTACTGCCCATATATTTATAGCCACCATATTAAGTAACACATTTCATAACAATCTCTTTCATGGTAAAACCCTATTGTCATAAAATCAACCACAGGCTGTTTGCACAATATGAAAGTCAAATAATAATTTATAACATTGGTAGTTTTATATGTAAGTCACATTGTCACCACTTGTTTATAGAATTTTTTATGTAGTTTTTTTAATATATAATTCATATTTTTTAATTGTACACCAATTTTTAGTTATATTGATTTGAAAATAACTTCAATCAAACATCGTAAATCGAATAAGAGCCTTATTTTGGAATGAAGGAAGTATTTATAATTGGCATATTTTTATGATAAAATTTTGATATATCGTATTTTTATTATATATATTTATTCAAAACTGCATTTAATTGATTGAAAAAAGAATTTGATAAAAAAAGTATTATGCCACTATGCACAAAGTATACATTATGTGAGTCCGAATTTGATATAGGAATTGAAAGAAGAATTGAAACAATTGATAGTGGGATAGATAAAAGGGATTGACAACATAAAGGGTATGATTGGAAGAGATTGAAAACATAAATAGCTAATTTGGTAAAAAACAACAAGCAGTGCTAAATGCGTAGTATTAGATGAGTTAGAGTGCTACGTAGGGTGATTTCTTATTCTAAATTTAGCAGATAAAAAATACCCTCAATTAATCCTCATTTGAGTAACATTATTTACGAAGGGTCATCTTGAGAATAAATCTCAATTATAAAGGACCACTTAGGTAATTAAGACTTATTGAAGACTGATTTAGGAAAATACTTTATTACAAGGGACTATTTTGGAAATTTACTCTATTTAATATGGGGTGGGGTTCCCATGACATTGGAACCCAATGTCATGGGATGAGCCGGGGCCGCTCCGGTGCCCCGTTTGTAAAATTGACGGTTCCTACCCTCTTTAACCCCTCGGTAAACCTTCCCACCCCTATCCGACCCGAACACACCCCCCTATCCCCGTCAATTGCACCCCTCAAGTTAATTTTGACTTTGGGTTCCAATGTCATGGGATCTTGGTGTTTAATACTCCGTATGATGGATTTTAATGTTTCCTCTATTTTGACTTTGGGTTCAATGACTTTGGACTTCAGACTTTTTAAGACCAAATTGATAATAGCATGGATTTGTCCATTTTGCCATTATTCAAATAATAAGAGTACGTAAAAGTGATTGAAAAATGAATAGACAAAAAAGTAAGAAAAAATATTCAAAAATGATTGAAATAAAAGAGAAAATATGCAAAAAATAATTGAAAAAAACTTGATGACTTAGTGAATCGTGTGAAAGATGCTTTTAAATGAAAATTATTTTGAATTAAACTAAAATATTTTTATCGAAAAAAATATAAGTATCTCGAACAAGTATTAAAATTTATCTGACTTTGTTTGTGTAAAACTTATTTGACAAATTATTAGAAATCTAAATGAAAATTTGGCTTTGCTTTATTAAAAAAACAAATATATTTTCATGATAAAAGTATTCCTTTGACTCTTAAAAAATGGAGAAAACTTTTTCGACACACCACCACAAAGATTCGAATCAGATGGTAAAATTTAGACCTCTGTTAGCTTATTCGGATACGGGTATAATACGTCTATTCGTACGTTCGTGTATAGTACGGACCATTTTTTTAAAATATGTCTTATTATACATTTTATACGTTCGGAGTACGTATACGGATACGTTCGCATATTATACGTTTGATATTTCAAAAATACGGCTTATAATGAATGCATATATTTTTTTAATAAGAAACGCATTTTAAAATTTGAAATTGAATACAAATACATCATAAAATTCTAAAAATTTAGCCAACACTACGATTTATTGTTTATTCATTTTTTCCATGTGTACTCAAAGGAGATCTTTGAATCTAATTATTATTTTGTACTTCCACAAAATGTATTCAAAGTAAGAACATATTCTGAAAAATGAAGCCAACATTTAGATATAAATAAAGCATTTAGGACATGACAAAAACTATATTATTAGACTATTTATGTTTTACAAAATTGATTAAATGTTTATCATGAATTTAAAAGGAAGACTTAAGCCTCTTTAAAATTTAAGTATGAACTTACTAAATAATGTTTTACACAATTTAAAGTTGAGTAAAATTAAACTTAGTCTATATTTTTTATTTTTTAAATACAAAAATATAGTTACGAACTTAGATTTTTTGAATTTAGATCATACAAATAAAATCAAATTTGTATTTTTAAACGTGGATAAATATTTAATCTTAAAAACTAAATACAAAAAATTGATCATACTTTCAAAATCAAAACAAATAGAAAAAATGTTGTTTTCTACTATTCGCTAGTGCAGATGCAATGTTGGACTTTGAGTCGGACGAAGTCGAATAGACTAGTAGAGTGTGGGTGACATTTTATTAAAAAAAGATATTGGTGGATGACTTGAACTACGATACGACTTTTAATACTTTTATAATAACTGAGTCGCCAAATTTTAAAGATTTGTATTTTTGCAGAAAGACAATTAATTTATTTGATCTCATCTGAATTTGACCCCAATGATTTTGCAATATAATACGTATAAAATTCGTAAATACGTTTGGGGTCAAAAATACGTGTATTATACGTTCGTCCCATTAAAAATTCGTATTCGGGAGTATAATACGTGTATCATACGTACGGGTGTATAATACGCGTATTATACGCGAATAAGCTAACAGAGATTTAGACAAAAAGATTTAACATAAAATTAAAAACATTTACCAATTACGGAGTAATTATTACCCATCCCTACATTTTATTTCATTTTCTAAAATTACCCAAAGACACATATAGAAAATCAAAATATTATTTACTTTTTATTAGTTAAACAGAAAAGTACTTCGGGGTACCCTCAATTTTTTGTTAATGATTCTCAGATTTTACATTATCTGAAATATACTCCGGAGTGCCCTTGATTTTTTGGTACAAACTCTCAGTCTTACATTATTAAAAATATACTACGAAGATTTTTAAAATTAGTAGTAATGTACTCTTTGGATACATTCCGTCTGTTTGAAAATTACTTATGTGTGAAGTCAAACTAAAAGTTAATTTGTGAACAAAAGAAATACTCCATCCGTCCAACAATAATGTTTTCGTTGCGTGTTACAATGTTTGATTGAAATTATTTTTAAATCATTTTATATAAAAAATCGTATAAAATCAAAAAATAAAAATTACATATTTAAAAACTATATAAAAAGATCTATAAAACTAGAGGTGACATGACTATATCATTTTATCAAATTGCCAACGAAAATACACCAATAAAGTTTAACCATGTGAATAGTGAATGAGAATATTATTATTGGACGAAGGTAGTATCTTTGAATGCAGTAATAAATTGGAAACTTGGTGTATACTCTAGTGTCACTATTACCATTTTTTATTTTAATGAGTTTTTTTTTATAGTTTTGAGTGAGTGACAGTGTGACACCATATCTGGTGAAACACTCACCCCAAGCGTCTCCACACCTCAACAAATCAGACTAGTGATCGCAACAAATTACCATTATTCTAATCTTATTTCTCGAGAGTACGTCTCGTGTCCGAATGCATGAAACGAGCTATCGCATTGGATAAAATTACCACATTGTCCCTACTAAAAATCGATCCCGAGACTTTGGACCCGAACCTCTTCTTTTACTTCCTCCGTCCCAAATTATTTGTCACATTTGCTTTTTCAACAGTCGCGGGAACTTTTGTTTATTTCTACGTTTTCATTGGTTATTTGATAAAATAAAATATTTTTGACACCTCTTATTTCGAAGAACTTTTCATGTAGTTTTTTGATATGTAATTTTTATTTATTATTTATTTACGAACATATAAATAGAATGAATTGAAAAAACTTAATCTTTTGACTCGGTAATAGAAATGTGACAAATAATTCGGGACGGAAGGAGTATATAGAAGTGGGAGAAAAGGACGGCTCAGATATGTCTCTCTCTAGTGGTGGGACCCGCCCTAGTCTACACTACAGAGGCCAGCGTCACAACTCATCCGTGGAATGGAGGGCCCACATACCTTAGGATGAGACATTTTCGGATTTTCCCACACGCATAAAAAGAAAAAAAAAGAATTTAAAAATACGGAGTTTTGGTTTACAAATCCGTTTTTAAAATACTGTCACAATTTGACTTTTCCAGTCAAATTGTGACACATTTTGTCTGTGAATTATAGAAAAAATATATTTAATTATATTGTAAAATTAATAAAATTGGGTTTATTTTAAAATAGAGTTTTTAAATATCAAATTTTTATAATATTTTATTTTTTTAAAATTATACCGAGTGTATAACTCGTGGTCAAAAGGTGTTTGACTTAGTTTGACGAAGGGCTAAAGTGGAAATTGCTCTTGTGTTTCCAGGTGAATTAAGAAAAGAAAAGTCCCTTCGAAGGTCTTTCATTGGGTGAAAAGATGTCTCCCCATATTGTGCCCTTTCATTTTTCCATTGAGGTGACTTTTCCGGTTTTCCCCATTCATGAAGAAAAATAAATAAAATGTTCTTCTTTTTCAAAATTATTTTTTACTCAATAACTATATACATCTTCCGTCCCAAAATAAAAACCACTGTCACTTTTATAGACTTTCGATAACTTCTATTTGTGTGTATATTTTTATTGATAATTTGATAAAACAAAGTATTTTTATCACCTTTTATTTTATATAATTTTTTATTTCTATATTAATTTGTAATTAAATTGATTTTAAAAATTATGGGGTTTTGCACGTTATTCGTTGTGTAGCATACAATATGGGACGGAGGGAGTATTTTTATTTTTATAATTGTTGGATAGTGCAAACCATTTCCACACTCACGAAAAACTAGAAAAAGAAACCAAAATAAATAAATTTAACTTCAACCCATTAGCATAAGGTATTCTGGCAAGTGTTCTAAAATGAATTTTTGCAAGTTTGGTACAAAGCCGACAATACAAAGTATGAAATGGTCATTTCTACAATAAACTTTTTGTCCCATTTTTCAACTTACTCTTAAAACTTTTATCATTCTTGTATGAGAAAAAAATGAAATTAGGCATACTAAGCACCCATAGTATTCTCTACCTCTATGTAGCTTTTCATGATGATTCTTATAGAAAAAAACCAATGGTTAAAATTGATTTAGCTAATGAACATCATAAAGATTAGGATTAAACAAGTCTTTTAGACTGGTCTATGGATTAAAGTAGAGGTTTAAATTGATGTTAGACTAGTGATCCTTTTCTTAATTCTTAATTTAGGGCCTAGAAACCGTTTGTACTTTTAGCAACATAAAAAATCATATATTCCCTTTGTCCCTGATTAATTGCCTCTTTTCAAATAATAGGTAAAATCTATCTCTTTCCAAATAATTTTATTGGCAAATTGTTATAGAGATAAAAAATACGGAAAAAAAAATTAACAAAACAAGTTATAACATGCCTATTTTATTTTACCAAATGAGCAATGAAAATGTATACTCAAATAAAAATTATTTGATGCGAAAATAGTAAAGAGGTCATTTAATTGGAGACAATAGTACATTACATAGCTAAAAATATTCGAACCTAAAAGTAGAAATAATATACTCTATAAATCTTAAATTAACATATGTACACCAAAAACCTTGTGATTCAAGACCTTATTGTGGCTCTCTCAAATGGGAGATTATATATTCAAGCCTCAGAGTGTGTGGTAATTTTTTGAGATTCAACAAATTGAAGAAAATATAAACAATTCATTTCCATTAACTCGCCATTAGTAACTTAACGACAACCTAAAATTCACAAATTTTAATAAAATTTAGATTATTAAGCACCACATTAAAAGGTGGGATTATTTTTGAAAGACCAAGTAAAGTAGGAATTACTCTAAACAATTTTTCCTAAAAAATACTAAACTTATAAAAATGAATAATTATTTACCCGCCTTCATCTCAATGTATTTATCCAGTTTGATTTTTTAGAGTCTAGCTGAACGAACTTTAAAATCCAATTAAACAAAATTTATAACATGAACGAACTTTGAAATTCAAGTAAATAAAATTTATAACATATTTTAGTATCGAAATCATGTAATTAAATTTATATTGTTGAAAACTTCCATAATTTTATGTTATAGTATTAATATACAATATACATTTAGAATAAGTGATGATTAAAGTTCAAATTTGAACGAATATACTGAGAAACGGAGAGGGTACTATAGACATTATAGTATTGAATTTTAGCACCAAGTTTCTTAGAAAGTATCATCGCAACATTAAAAATGACATTTTACATTATTAGAAAGTGTCATCCCAACATTAAATATACAATTTACATAAACCTTTCCAAATTTGAGAATTACATCATTAAATTTTCAAAAAAAACTAGGGATACATCACTTAATGTACACCACGTTTTTCACACAGACAACAATTGTCCATAACTGTACAAACAATAATTATCTGTGTGTATGTAAAAAATGCAACAAGTAGTGTTCAATTTAACCCGCATAAATTTTACAAATTGTAATAGACCCAATAAAAACATACAAGTAGAATTGTTTATAACTCTATTCTTTTCCATTTTTAAATACATCTCTTTACAATCAAATTAGATTAAAATAATCATACTACAATAACCCTACCTTCTCCACCCATCTTTTTCTACCCACCCATCATTTCTCCCAAACTCATTAACGGAGTAATCTTTTACTTTTGAGGGGTAAAATGGGAAAGTCAACACTTTTTTTTGTTTTTGCCTTAAAATATGTCAAGTCAGAATAAGACTTTAATAAGAGTAATAAGTAAATTACTCATGCACATCCATGAAAGTGTATGTACCTGCCAAAACTTCTCTGTGCATCTTTTGTTACAACAATCCTTACCTGCTGGTCTGCTGCAATCCTATAAACAAGGTTTTTTTCTCATTTTCTTACACTATGTTTGGTTCAAGGAATTTGAAAGGGAAAAGAATAGAAAATCATATGGACAATAATTTTTCTTGTTTGGTTAGAATGGGAAAAAAATTAAAAGGCAAAACGTACTAAGATGAAGGAAACCCAAATTTCTCCCATTTTGGTGATAAAAATGAGAGAAACCCATTCTCTTTTCCCACAAAATTCCTAAGCATTATGTTTGGCTCATTGAATTTGTAAGGAAATTAAAAGAATATGACTTTCTCTCATTTTCCTCACCAAATTGAGAAGAATATGGTTTTCCCTCCTCTTAGTACATTTTCTTTTCATCTCTAACCAAACAAGAAAAACTGTTTTCAACTTCATTTTCTTTTTTTCCCCTTTCAAATTCCTTGAACCAAACATAGTGGCATAGTGTAAGCCAAACATAGTGTTAATGTTAATAGCTAGTAGCTACAAACAAATTCACAGAACAAGGGGGGAATGGGAACATATTCAAATGAAAGCACATACCACAACTCAATCAGATGCCTCTAATCGCTGGCGTTTGGCCGTTTCTATCAGTGCATACATAAACTTTTCGGGTTCGCAGACGTGGGGATTCTTCTGTGCTGCATGTGCTAAGAAGGGAAGCTTTCTGAGTGATCTTCCGCTCAACCCCTGCAGAAGTAACTACTAGTGAGCACTGATCATAATAATAACCTTTTTTGCCTCACTTTTCATGGTAAGCATATCCAGGTTTTATCAGTCCCGAAATGGCTTACCACTGTGACTGGCCATTAGATTCAGCAAAACACTTTTCAATACAATAAAACCCCAAAGTCGACGCCATTAGAGACAATTTTGTAGGGACGGTCATTCGTGGTATGATGGTAGCAAAACCATTTTTCAATATGACCACCATTGTTTTGAGCTGTTGAGTTTAGCCATTTTGCTTCAATTCTCAATCCAAATGAGTCACTATCCGGGGCAGAGTTGAATGAGCTAATGCCTTCGTCTTTGATTTTTTGGGAAGTACGAGTCACTACTATGTTTCCTTTTTAGTACATTCGAGTTTGCGAAAGGTTATCAATGCCCTTAATTTTCATGTTAGCTCTCCTACTGTGAAACCCCTAATTAGAACAACTAATACGAGATATAGGAAGCATTAGATGAACAGAAGGATTACGGCATTAAACCAACGGCCAAATAGGGTTTCAAGTCAACCCAAAAATTTATATACCTCACATGCTTCTGCAGCGTCAAGCAAAAGTTTGCAGAGCTGGGACTGTGATTGGGACTCCGGAGTCGGTGATTTGCCAATGTGGTCTCTCAAACTAGAAAATACCGGGAAAAAGAGCCGTTCACCACCCTTCACAAAACTTACAGGAGGGATTTAGTTGGTAAACCAAGAGTGCACTCCACGGTTCCACTGCATTTCAATGAAAGAGATGCAAGATAAAAGTTACCGGCATGGGTGAATGTGACACTATTCCAGCCCTTAGTAGCTCTTGCAAGCAAGACCTCAGTATTTCATAGCGTGCTTGAAGCGTTGGAGGTCCCACATACGCTTTAATATCTGCTCGATCCACAAAAGCTATATCTGAAATTGAAACGACAGTAGAAATAAGTAAGTCTTTATGCCGGGGTAGAAGAAGAGGATTTGAGCTCCTACACTTGTGATTATGAAGCTTCAACTTAATCAAACTATACCAAGGGTAAATGATAAGTTTGCTTTCTTACATTATACTATATGCAGCTCCACATCCTATAGGGTTTAAATTTTCAATCCACTCTCCATTAGGTCTACCACACATGTGTACTTCGATTACCAGGTAAAGGGAAAATTACATAAATCATGAGAATATTCATTCATCAAGCATTGCTATTTTACAAAAATATGTTCCCCACATTAAAATCATTATAGCCAAACAAGACTAACACATACACATTGCAAAGCATCATCCTTTCGAATAAAAAGTGACCCCCCCCCCAAAAAAAAGACATGCGAATGATTTTCCGGCATAGTAACACACAACGCCGTTCACATTTTAGTGCCAGAATTTAATTTGAGGCCTACCTATAGCGGCGGTGATATTGGATGTTGTAAGAATTATGACATTTGGTGATGATTTTAACTTGTCAAGCTGTGTTAACAGTGCATTCACTACCTGAAAATTCAGGAACTCGCTCATGAATAGATTCATGCTACATGATAGAAACATACTTAGGTGACAAGTGATGAGCCAAATGCAATGTAATCAAATTTATATTTGGTGCAAGTTCACATCATATGCATTTGATTAAATTCCATAATATTTCATTACCCATTGCCAAACTACAACTTATTTCTTTAAAATTGAGTTCTTCACTGAGCTACAAGATAAGTATACCCGTATCGAATCTGAAGGTTCAGAACCAGACAATGCAGCTTTTCTGGCAGCAGCAAGGCTTTCAACTTCATCTGAAAAGGAGTGAGTCTAGGAATAAACTACAGCTTAAAGAAATGCATAAGAAATATGAAAACAGCAATAACAGTTTTTTTACCGATCAATACAAATACAAGATTGCTTTCATCCTCGACCATTTCTTGAATTTTAGAAAACATATTAGCAACCTACAAAAAATATTTACACATGATACGCTAATGTTAAAATGATGAACAATGGCATATACAAGGGTAACAGGACATAGTCGAAAAAATGATTGAACGATCTCTATTCTTCGAACCTCAGCTTTTTAATTAGATACACTTTTGCTCTTAAAAATGATCAAAAATATTTAGTGCTATCTTCTCTGTTCAGTTTTCTTTGAAGCCAGACACAGAGCGGATCATTAATTTATTAGCACTAAGTTACAAACTATAAGTCTGCCACAGTAAAGCTAATGAATATGAGGTTTTAATATGGATCATAGTCACATAAATCGCGGTACGTTTCGGTACGGGTACGCGGTACGGGTACGAAATTCGCTAGAGGTAACGAATTCGGTACGAAGGGGGGTAGGTTCATTTCGGTACGAAGCGGTACATTTCGGTACAAAGCGGTACAGTGTACCATGTATTTGGTTCGGCATACCAAAAGTGAAAACATAAGTAAACAAAAATAGATAAAAATAAGTATAATATTTAATTGTGAATTGAATTTTAAATTAAATATTAAATGATGAGAATGGGAAAGAGAAATATTTAATTGGGAATGTGGAACGTGCCTGGGAAGTGGAACATATTCAATTTACAAAGACTTGGGAAAGAGAAATCGTTGAAAAGGGAAAGAGGCAAACTGGGAAGAGGAAGTCGACGTTGCTTTGCTCGGAGGAGGAAGTCGAGGAAGTCGCCACTGGTACGCTGTACCACCGGCGATGGGTGCGATGTACCTGGGTATTTGGATCGCCGTACCATCGCGATTGGGATCGCCGTACCATCGCGATTGGGATCGCTGTACCATCGCGATTTGGATCGCCGTACCGGTTGCGATTGGATCGCAAGCGACTTGCGATTGGGTACGAATCGTACCAATACGGAAGTTGCGGCTCTGGGAGCGAATTCTGTGACTATGATATGGATTGCTTCATTCGTTGCAAATGATCTATCTATTATCATCTCATTTTACAGATACAGTAATGATTGGATAAAATGAGAGCAAAAGTGTCGAACCATCAGCAATCCAGAGCATTACCGGCCACCTAGAATTCTAGAAATAATATGATAAACTTTTATGAATGATAGAAGATGTGCCGGATAAGATACTAGGATAAACTCAACTTGAACATCAATGAACAAATACTGTTCAGAACCAATCGAAACTTTAACTGCCAATAGTCCAAATAATAGTGTCTGTTAATCTAATAAAAATTTGCGGCTTTGCACTATCCAAAATCCATCAAACTTGAATGACTTAATAATTAATATGCTATAATAAAAACCAATGAAGACTGCCAAACTAGCAAATGGCAAACCTAAGGCCTCCAGGCATCAGAAGATGAGAATGGTCCCCACTAGAAGTCTAGAAGTCTAGAGTAATTCAAATTGGGATGTCTCTAACCTTTCATATAGTGGTATCTGGCATTATATAATTCATCCCTCTATTGCAATTGTGTGTTGCGCATTAATAATTATGAAAGCGTATTCTATTCATTAGGGAAAATAATTGTAATAAGAGTAGTTTCGTATTCTCTTGGAAACAGCCTCTCTACTTGTAGTAGTGGTAAGGTTTGCGTAACACACTGACACACCCTCACCAGACCTGCTTTTGAGGGATTATACTAGGCTTTTGTTCTTGTTAAAGAGTTGCTTCGTATTGTTTTAGACCATTAAAAAAATAACAAAAATATCTAGAAGGGTCATTAATACCAAGTTTCTTGCTGACTAATTCAAAAAATACTTTAGCATGAATTCGTCGGTTCAAACTTAAGTCAGTAGCCTGTGATTAATATTTGATATATACTATGCTAAAAATTAGAAATCCATGCAAATTCAAAACCGTTATGTGAATAATGCGATACTTACCAACTTGCCGCTTTCAGAAAACCATTTACTAAACAAGGAGTGTGCATTAACTTCTATCAATTGGCACTGTGGATATCTGTGTTTGAATAGTAGAGATAAGTGTTTTAAATGAGATCATAAATATAAATGAATTATCGAAAATCAACAACAATGCACAAACCTGGAGTTAAATCGAATGGAGAGTTTGTGTGCCAATGCTTTACACAGAGATGTCTTGCCTGTTCCTGGAGGTCCATGGAGAAGAACAATTCTGCATACCATTTCAAATAAGATTAGTAAAACAATAAGAGTCAGCTTACATGTTGAGGAATGAGGACTGAGCAGCAGAGTGCAAGTTAACTAATGCATGGCTCTTGATCAATTGAATTCTTAACACATTTTACATCACACAAGTTCTTCATGGAGTAAAAATTTAATGTGTAATCCTTACTCAGTTATAATTGAGAATTATTATTGCAGAATCAAGAAAAGCAAGATAGCATAGGAATTAGGAACCAAACCATAGAATTATAGAAAGTAAATTAATCTAATTAATGCTTTGAATCAACTATAGACTGAATGCTTCACTAGTTCTGTTTAGCCCTTAAGTAATTCAATGCCATCAAAAGCTAAAGATAAACTTTCACAAGATAAGAGGCAGGAAGTATGGGCACTCAAAGATATTTCATAGTCCCTTTGTCCCAAATTAATAGTCCTCATTTTCTTTTTGGAGTGTCTCAAAAAAATAGTCCTCTTTCCACTTTTAAAAAAGTTTTGGTGGCTCATATTTTTTCTCTCCTCTGCATCACTTTCAACCACACAATTTCACTTTCTTTAAACTTCGTGCCAAACCAAATGTGGACTATTAATTTGGGATGGAGGGAGTATTTAGTACACAAGTTTTGAAATACATATAGTCTGTAATAGCCATTTGGAGCATGAAAGATACGCATCCGTAACTTTTCCATGCACAAAACCCCCAAGGAAAATATAGCATAGGCAGAAGATATTAAAAATAATTGACTTGTAACTAGAAATAACCACAAGGACAGCACCCTTGAGTCAAAAAAGAGCAAAAAGAAAGCTATACCTGTTCCAAGATACAAGGAAAGGGTCAACACCCTTCTCAGTGAAAAGTAAAGCACTTGCCGCATATCGCAACAACCTCTGCTTGAGACCAGATTCGTAAATTAGGCTGTAGATACAAAATTATTATGTACACTTCCTCATTTTGTTTATCTCGTAGTGTTCAAAGGTGAAGCAAACCTTTCCCACATTCCTTCATATTCTTTGGCGGGAAGAATCCATTCATTAAATGTAGAAAGCTGACCATTCCCACTCATTTCTTCACATGGTCCTTCCTCGTTAAGCTGGAGAATGAAAAAAGACCACTTCTATATTATTCTGCGATACTACCATTTTTACCACGCTACTCTTTTATACTATGAATTTCACCATTTGATAAATGCATGGTACATATAATAGCATGAAGTAGATGGCCATGTTAAATCAACAAATTGTTTAAAATATTTGGTGCACTGATTGAAACACTGAGATTGCAAGGATACACACCTGAAATACATGCACAATTGGTTTAACTTGCCAGAATAAAAGAATACCATCGTCCTCCAGCCACACATCTAGAAAGCCAGCAATTAGGTCAAATGATACAAACATAAATTGGGCAAACAGTAATACACAGTCTCCATTTTTTACAAAGGATCTACTATGCATGCAAATTTAAATACCTGTGTCACACACGCATATTCTCTGCACATTGTCTGCAATGAAGGGATCATCCAGTGGCACTGGAATAGGACCATCAACATAGCTCATACTCCTCCTTTCCAACATGCTACATGTTATTTGCAAAAAGAACACATACATAAAATGAGGCAAATAAAACATTATTTGAAAGCAGTCAAAAGCACCTAAAAATACTATCAACCACAAAATACATATTCTGAAGTGCTTGCAAAAAGTCACATACATGTAGAGTATAGTGTCATTTGTCGTTAACAGCGTGAATTCAAGCGGAACTAGAATAATGGGTAATGACCACAATGGCACTATGCCGAGATAACCCTTAAGAAAAAAATACTTTGTAAAAAGATGACAGTGTTGAAATCCAATGAAATTCCTTCCAGTGTGCAAGCAATGTACTAGAGCTCTTAGAACACAACATGAAACGTGAAGGTACCTTTCAACAGCCAACCGGATGTCATCTACGCGAGCAGTACTTGACGGCTTCAAACAAACCTCAACTGTAAAAACAAAATTCAAATTCTTAAATCAAGAAGCTCAATTTCCTTTAAAAAATAGATACGCATTTCGCAAAGCCCAAAACTAAGTCTGCTTTCATGCTTTGAATGTGGGGAATTCCACAATATAGTCTGATAAGCTACATATTCGGCCAATTTAAGCAAAAGGGAGCGAAGTAAAGAACAGGGAAGTCTATGAATCAAAGACACACAACACAAAAAAGGAGAACCTGAAACGTGGATCTTCTCCTCCTGGATCATGGCAGCGGGGGGCGATTTCGGCGGTGGAGGCGGCTCCGGAAGTACACCATTCTGCTCGGAACACTCTACACTAGGGGCATTCTCCATTGAAACTTCCATGGGAGCACTCATTTCGGAGAATTGAGTGCCTCGGAATCGCAGTGCAACTGTGCAATCGGAATTTGGGGAAGAATCGCTAAAACCCTAGTGCTGCCAGTGAATCCGCTTGGCAAAGTTTTAAGCGCGGGAGACTCATTTTTGTTTCGTTTATTTTTGAAAAAATCACTAAAATCTAGGTTGTTAGTCTAAATAGTCAACCCATCTCAAAATGTTTTACACTTTTACTCCGTATATTTTTACTATTTATGTTTCTCGACATTCTCGTTAAACTTTGTTTACATGTAGGGATGTAAACAAATTAAATACTTCTAATTCGATTCGTGGTTTGTATTCGAATATAATGATTCGAATTTGCAATATTCAAATACAAATTCAAATATCATTTTTTATTCGAATATTAAACAAATACAAATACAAATACAAATATGAGTATATTGGATTCAGGTGATATTCAAAAATTCGAATATATGTATATACACACAACCATGTTTCAACATCAATATAATCAAGCAAACTAATATAGTATAAAATGTATTTAAATTATTAAGAATTTAACAATTAACGTAACACCAAAATCTAAAGCATATTATTTTTAATAGTTATATATTTTATAAAATATAATTTGTGTGAAGTGAAAATGTATTAATGTTTTTATATATAGTATAAGAAGTATTGTAAGTTAAATTATTCAAAATCTATGTTGGTCTATCATATAAATTATGCATTATGATTATTAAAATATTCGTTTAGGATTCCTTAAGTGTTCGAATATTAATCAAATACAAATTCAAATCTTATTTTTAATTCGTCTCATATTCGGATTCGAATTCGAAAAAATTAAGCGAGCAAATACAACTTGTTTACATGTATATTTTAATTGACAATTTGATAAAATAAAATATTTTAATTGACAATTTGATAAAATAAAATATTCTTGTGACAACTTGTTTTGCAAAACTTTTGATATAATTTTTTAATATGTGATTTATATTTTTTATTTTGATTTTGATACCAATTTATAGATAAAATCATTTTTAAATAAAATTGTGCACATTGTTTGAAGAATCTAAATAAGTTCTCGAAGAGTGAGTACTTCTATTCAAACTCCATCAAGGTAGAAATAAAACAACAGGTCGGTTCCGTTGCCACTGGCAATGATGCTGCTGATGATGCCACTAGTTTTTTTGAATATCTATGGTGCTTTATTCACAAAATTGATGACTTTTACTCAATAAACCTTCCATCCCAACAACACACATGCCCCTTGCCTCTTTTCCCTTTCCAAATTTGTGGTGACTAGACAATTACCTAATCTCCACGCATTTTGAAGGGGAAATGGGGGCTACGTTGGGAGAAGTGGTGTAACTATGGTGAGAGGTTTACGGGGGTTATTGATAAGAATTATTAATTTTGCGATCAAAATATCATATGTGCTCTAAAAAGCCAGTGGCACCGTTGTTGAGTGACAACGAAACCGTGGCGATACAACAAATTACTTTCATATACCATAATTTTTATTGATTCAATTTTTCCATATAAATACATGTGATATGTGCCCAAGATAATTATCTCATATTTATATGCCATGGGTGTGTATGATTAGGAAAAATAATTTTAAGGAAAATTATTTTCCCTCCACATTTTCCACTGTTGAGGTTAAGATTGATTCCCACCCATTGTCCAAACTAGAAAATTTTCAGAACGTTGGCTTGGTAATCCAAGCAAATAGGGAGTTGGACAGAGATATTACGCATCGTGTTGGAGTAACTTGGGCAAAGTGAAGATTGGCTTATGTGGTTCTGTCTGATAAGAAGATTTTGGTTAGGATGGAAGGTAAGTTCTATCAGTCTATAGTAGGCCAAGTATGTTTTATGGTGTGGAGTGCTAGACTGTTCAGAAAATACACGTTCGTCAATTGCATATGACGAAGATGTAGATGTTGTGGCAGATGAGTGGGAAGACGATGACGGATAGGATTCTTAACGATGTTATTCGAGGACAAATAGGCATGGTTTTTGTGGAGAATAAGCTACGAAAAGCTTGGATGAGGTGGTTTGGGCAAGTGAGGCAAAGGATTTTCGATGCCATGTTCGGAGATACGAGAGACTTACATTGAGGTGAGAGCTAGTTGCGAAAGGGTAGACCCAAGAAGAATTGGAAGGATGTGGTTAGTCGTGATCAAAGGCTTCTTGCCATTATTGAAGATATGACCTTAGATAGGAATATCAGGAGAGCTGGGATTAAGATAGTTGGGTAGGTGATCCAGAGTTATGTTATAAATTTATTGTAATTGGAAAAAATATTTGACCAATGGTATCATAATAATCATCAAAGAAGTTTGGTGGTGCGGAGCGCGCGCTTCGTTGAATTTCTTGTGATAAAAGTCTCGTTTTAGCGGAGGTTTCAAGGGGCAGCACCCCCTTAGCGGGGGACCGAGGGCAGCGCCCCGAGCAGGGTTCAAGAGGCGACAATCCTTGCGAGATCCAAGGGGCAGAGCCCCTGGCTGAGGTCAGATCAGCTCGAATTTTTTTTTATTTTGGACAAAGTGTTGTGTTTAAAACTTCGTTCGAATTTTGATTTTTGAATTTTCCTTAAGGACGTTTTTATCAGGAATTGCGTGCGTTTTTCTGATGTTTCGCGCGAGTAGATGCAAATTTAGAAAAAGACGTGGGCGCATTGATAGAATTTAGGATGAGATAATGATAACTGAATTGAGCAATAAGACACTTGGGTTGAACCACATTAAAAGATTGAATCCAATCGATTAGTTTGTTCAACTCAAGAGCTTATACACCGATTATTTTACTCTTGAACTTCCGATGTGTGATGCACTTTAACACTCCCCCTCAAGTGGACAATCGGATCATTTTGAATATAACTGGTTGACAACTTGCAAATGAACTCCCATTCGCTTGATTTTTTTTAGCGCCAACACCTTAAAGGACCACAAGCCGCTGTGTATGGACTTCCAGACGAGCAATCGTGTTAAACGGGCCACAGGCTGTTGAGTACATACTCCATACGGACAACTGGGCTAAAGACTAACGGGCCGCTAGGAAATGAACGTCTAGACGGACACCTTGACAAACGAGGTGGGCCAAAACTTGCTTTGATACTATAATAGAATTTAGGAATGGATGGAGACAACTAGATTGGGTAATAAGACACTTGGTCTGAACCATATTGAAAGATTGAATCCAGTCGATTAGTTAGTTCAACTCAAAAGCTTATATACCAATTATTTTACTCTTGAACTTCCGATGTGGGATGCATTTTATCACGCATCTCTTCATCTTTCTGCGACTCTATAAAATACAGCGCATCCTTGGTTGTAAAAGTACAGTTCGAGATTCATAAACATGCATACTTATTCTTGTCAAATTTGAGTTTTATATCGTTGATTTTTGGAACACCCAAAAATAATTAATCTGAAAGTGCTACATGACTCTCAAATTAAATTGATCCACATTATCTTTCTTTTCCCCAACAACTTAGTGGTAGTTTCTCCAACTGTTGTGTCCTTTGTTTGTTTTGTATGCATTGCGCTTAGTGCATGCTCTGTGTTTGTTTTGTTTAACTAGTTTGTTCTTAGTCTCTGTGTGCTTTTTGCTATCTTAGTTATATATCTCTTATGTGATCTTATTTTTTATATGTTGCTTGAGTCGAGGGTCTCTTGGTAATAGCCTCACTACTTTTGAGCATGGCAAAGTCTATATACACATCCTCATAGACGCTACTGTCGTGGAATCTAACAAGTTTTTTTATTGTTGTTGTATTTTCCACTGTTTGGTAAGAACGGAATCTTTTTTTAAAAAAGGCAGGGGGTGTGTTAGGTGGGGTGAGGTGGACAGGCAGTGTGGGTGTGGACGAAGGTTGTAGGGTAGGAGGGGGCGAGGGATAGGGGTGGCACAGTGGGGGTTGATGGGGTGGCAGGATAAGAGACGACGGGAGTAGAGGGGTCAGGTGGTAGGGGTTGGGTTGGGCAGGGGACAGCATGGGGGTGCCACAAATGGGTGTGGTAAATGGGCGCGAGAGAGTGGAGCGAGTCGGAATTTTTATGAAAACAAACATATATTATTTTTCTTTGGAAGAAAATAATTTCTTACCACTCTGTCACCAAACAGAAAAAAATAGAATAAAAATTTTTTTAGAAAAATATTACTCACCCATGCAGACGGGCTCTATATTTTTATAATAGACTTTACTTTTTATTTTTTATAACATAAATTTTACGGAGTATTTTTCTCTTGTTTTTTTTAAAATATGTGGATAAAATTTACTTAGAGGAGAAATTTTTATTGTTAGAAATTTATATTTGTTTTCTTAAAAAATTTAAAAACATTTTGAGAGAGAAAACTCAAGATTGATTTATTGACGTTAAAACAAAAACAGGAGAGACGGAATCTCATTACATCACACATGAGCTTGAGCGTAAGCATACATCGCTAATAAATGAGTCATATTGTTTGAAGAACACAGACCAAAAAAAACCGAGCAAGAAACAAAAAACAAACAATCATTATTAATGATGCCGACATAAGACCGAGGATTAACAGAAGAAGACAACAAATTATAATAAATGGTTGAGCAATCTGAGAAAGGTCGCACAGAAGTCACGCCCTAAGACACGTGTCTTCAGCTTTCTGAAGCCTCTTTGCAAGATGTTCTTTCGGCCATCAGGGCAGAGGAGATATCAAAAGGGGAATATTCACTGTCGCCACAATCTCGCCAACAGAATAGAGAACGGTAACTTTGAATACATCCTTTCCTGACATCACGTCATAAAAATATAAAAATTACTTTGTATGAAAAAAAAATGTATGTCCCTTATTTCAGAATGAACCGAGTAACTCATACATATAGTGATTAGCTTATTTGATTAATTAATAAATTATTAGTTGCCATGTTAGTTAAGATTTGTCATTATTTATTATTTATTAGTTATTGTAATCTATATTTTATTAAGTGAGGGAAATTATAAATGTCTTCGAGAATTTCTTTTCACTTCTTTACCTCAATGCAGTTGTTGAA